TTATATACATATAAAATTATATATTTTAATAGTATATCCATTATAATTACCAAACACAAGCAATCCTTGAAGTGAATATTAAAGATAAAACAACAAACAAAATATGGTATATAATATAATATACCAGTATATACTGTACGTATAAAGCTTATTATAATAATAATTATGATTAACATGAGAGAAAAGTGTATGTATGCGTGTGTGTGTGTGTGTGTGTGTGTGTGTGTGTGTGTGTGTGTGTGTGTGTGTGTGTGTGTGTGTGTGTGTGTGTGTGTATGTGATTTTGAAATCAATCAATAAGCTAATGTCATGTGAAATAGTCGATAGAAAATAGAGTGAATGAGAGATGAGTTTGAAAAAAAATCTTTAAAAAACGTCTATTTATAGTAATTGTGTGAATATTGTTGTCAAGCGATAGCATAAGAATATACTGTAGTAAAGTACATACACAGTATGGTATACGGTATGTGGTGTTAAAATATGACATATCACTAAAAACTCATGATATACAGTATATGTTGAGTAAATTTATGTATAAATACATTCTGTATATTATATTATATAAAGCACTTTTAATGTGATATATATTACTAAATGAAAATGTTTTGCCTAATTGTTGGACCAAATGGTGCACAAACTTCACTTCAACTGAAATTTGTTTGTTTGTTGGGTTCTCTCTCTCCCACTCTCTCCCGGTTCTCTCTGTTGCCAACGTCTTAAACGAAGCCAACTCTTTGTATTTGATTGGTTGACCATCTCATCCATCGGTCGCCAGGAGCTCAACATTTGTATCTCCCGTTCCTCTCTCTCTCTCTCTCTCCTCATTCACTCAGTCAGTCATTCTGGGCTAATATATTGTAGCAATTGTTGTATTGAAATGAATGGAAATGTGACTCACACTCGCATACATATAATATAGTATACTAGACATACAGTTCCTGAACATACAGTATGCCTATTGACAAAAAAGTGCTTTTAGCCCTGTGCTCTGCTCCAGCAATTGTATGGCTAATGCCAGTGCCTTAACCAATGAGTTTTTGCAGCGAAAATCCTTGCAAATTGGGAACTGGAGAGCGGAGATGTGCTCTCAATGCTGTAATTGTCGTCAACAGACTGACTGACTATAAAAGCTATAACTTATTAAATATAATACGTTATGTTATGAGTGGCAGAGGAAGGCTATATCATACAAGAAATACTAAAAAAAAAAAAAATAATAATAATACTCAATACTCTCTCATTTTCACTAAACATATGACAGTTTTTTTTTGTTGAAAAGTGTAGGAAAAATGTACACAAATTTAATGCCTTTCTGTGCTTCAAATGCATAGATGAGTGAAAAAAGTATTGCAAAAAATAGCATTTTTTGAAATATAAATACATTTTTTCATATAACTTATATTTTAAACATACTTTACTACACCAATGAGTAAGAAAGAGAGAGAATATATACATATATACTGAATATATACGTATATATTTCAACTAAAAAAGTATTATACGTGTAAAATACAGTATATACAGTACAGTATAAAATATATACTATATATATATTGATATTATATTATATTATAAAATTTATTTTGTATATATTGTATGACTTTTTCGGGTGTTTGTGAAGGACTTAAAACCCACACCAGAAGAGCCTTCAAAACAAAAAAATACATTACATTACATGTTATAACACTATTGTGTGTGTGTGTGTGTGTGTGTGTGTGTGTGTGTGTGTGAGAGAGAGAGAGAGAGAGAGAGAGAGAGAGAGAGAGAGAGAGAGAGAGAGAGAGAGAGAGAGAGAGAGAGACTGAAGACAGGCCTAAGCGTTAAAATGAGTTTTCTTTTATAATTTTCAATTCACTTAAAACACATTAATTTAACCGTATATTTGCTATGCTTTACGATTTGTATGTATGTATGTTAGAGTATTAATACTGTATCTATCGTATATGTGTCGCATATAATAAGTAATTATGAGTACACACACAACAAATACATTATTACATATATTAAAAAAACACTACACAATAATAGCTGATTGTGTTAATGAAAAATATATAAGAAAACGAAAGAAAAGTATTTTTTCATGAATTTTTTGTTTGAAAAACAATAATCAAAATAATAGATATTTATATATATATTTAAGTGAAAAATGTTGACAACTCTCGCAACTCTCTACTATCTCTTTGCTATTACTTTCATATAATAGACAAAAACTTATATATATATCGATAGAGAAAAAAGTTTTGACTTTGATTTATATGCCTATTATTGTCTATCAATATAATAATAGTTGTGTTAAATCTATTGCAAAACTTAATGTCAAAATCAATGATTAAGGACAGACAGCTCTCGCAGCTCCCGCACCACGATTTTAATGCCCCTACACTTTATACAACAACACAGATATATCCAAAACACATGAAAATCCTGGCCAGCCTTGGCTGTGGCACCGGTAGTATTGGTTGAGCGATTGTATAGCAGTGAGGATACTCATAGTGAAAGGCCATCCCCGGTATCGCCTGACCAGTACTTTATCATATATGTATGACTCTCTCTCATATGTTATACCACTTTGTATGGCATATCCTTGTATGGCGTGTGCTATGCATATCCCCGAAAAACTTTATTTGCCTTAACAACCATCAGTGCTAGTTCTCTCTTTCTCTCCCGTTCCCCCCCTTAACGCTCCCCATACAGTATATGATTGCTAATGCATTGAGTGAGTGAGTGAGTGAGTGAGTAAGTGAGTAAGTTAATGTGTGCACAGTATATATGATTGTGTGAGTGAGTGAGTGAGACTCAAAGCACCAGAATTACTGAGAAAAAGCTCACAATTTATGTATGATTTACACAATAGATTTACTGTCAATAATATGGGCCCAACATTTAGGCTTAAGTCGACTGATATTAAACCTTTTTTATGACTATAAACGCCTGTACAAAGCCTGTAAATTTATAGTACAGTATTCACTGTGTGTGTGTGTGTGTGTGTGTGTAGTACAGTGTATACCGTATATAATATACAGTACAGTTTATATACAGCACTTGTGTGTGTATATAGCGAGAGGTCACGTATAGCTCAGTTTAATCAAACATTATATTAATTGATAAAACGCTTGTGTATTGTAAACACCATTACATTAACTATTACTATACTGTAGTAAAAAAAGCTAAATATATATTATATACACGACATTATTATTATATAAGTTTAGGTTTTGTCATAATATTTATTATAATATTCATATAACAGGAATTGAAATATAAATTTTTAATCAAAAAGTTTATTATAGAGTATATTATATATAATTTTTAGACAATTATCGCAACAAAACTTTTTTCTTCAATGAATGAATGATTGACTTAAACTAAATGAATGAATGAATCGTATCTCTAATAATATACTGTATATAAAGTATAAATATATTGCCAAATAAATAACAAACTGATATTAAATGTTTGTCAAATAAATTTACAAAAGATATATTATATATATATATATACTGTAGTATAGAGGTATAGATAGATAGATAGATAGATATTTACTCTTATGATTTGGCACTGGTATTGTATTTTTAGGCGATTCTCTACTCGTATACTGTTTATTATACTGGTTATACTGTACTGTATGTATACAATAGCTAGACTAGACGGTAGTTTGGATGGCACTTAACTATTAAATTGAAAGGCAACACCAAATTCAAGTATGAATGCATTGAAGCACTCATTATTATAGCTGTTTTTCAACGTTCAAACCAATAGGCAATCTCTTTCTATGGGCAAACCATTCATACACAACAGTACCTGTTATCAGGCACAGGGAGACACAATACAGGGGCGCTTAGTTGAACTATGCTGGTCTATACTAAGGAACGGTTATACTTGCAAGCAATGGTAGTACTGGTTGGAGTTGTCATGTTTTCTATGACTGTGCACAGTCTACTTTTCTCCAATGTATATGTATCGGTGCCGATGTTGCTATGCTGTCTGCCATTGGCCAACAGCTGTTCACTGGCACCAGTGATTGGCTGCCAGTGCTGTCACTGTATGGTATAGCCATGAATGCAACAAATATATATAAATTTATATATATTAATACACTATTATATACTATACTACGGCAGCAGCACTGGTATATACAGTGTATATAATAATACTATGAGAGTGCTATGCTTTTTGTGTGTCGGGCCTCACATCAGCTGAAACTCACACAACAACAACACAACAGACAACCTCTCAGAGCTGTACTGACTGTCAATGCGTTAACATCAGAGTGAGAGACAGTTTTTAAAAAAAAAACTTTTTATTTTATTTAATACACACAACCATCAAAATAAAAAACTACATAAGCGTGTGTAGTAAACAATTGCATTGCAATTGCCATCAAAATTGAACTTTATATGAAATAATTTAGTTTATATAAATTTTTTAATTAATTATTATTATTATTAATTTAGTGTTTTTTTTAATTTTTTCAATTATTTTAATTTTGTTGTAAATATTATATATTATTTTTGAAAACTTCAAGTCATTTAACTCTTTTCAAAAAAAGACATTATATTTTATGATTATTATATATTATAAATATATTTCTAGCAATAGTTTAGTTGTTTTTCAATTTAGTTATTTTTTCAATTGATATTATTATTATTTTTTAATTATTTTATTGCAAATATTACAATCATATATATATAATATAAATATTTTCCCCAATTTGTTGTTGTGTTATATAATAAATAATATTAATAATAATAAAATAAAATATATTATTATAACCACTACTGTATAAAAAAACTCGTCCAACACTTAACTCATTATAAATGTTGCTTTAGTTGTGACCTAAAAAATTCAATTTAACTCAATATATATATAAAATATATATTAAAATATATTACTATAAAATTTGATAATAATTGTCGACTATATTGAAGTTATATATTTACTACAAGAAAAAATATATATATTATATACAGTATATATCTATATATTATTATAATAATGTTATTAACAAATACTACAAATTCAATTCAAATCAACAACAATATCAACAAATGTGTCACTAAATTGGGTGACATTGTCGTGAAGAATGGCCGCACAAATGGTCAAACCGGTGGTCAGCCCTTCGCACCCGTCAATGGAAACATCGCGGCGATGGCCAACAACAACAACCTGAACAATACACCACAGCCTCTGCCGGCAATTGGCGGCCATCATCGGCAGCCGCAACGGGTCAGACACTACTCGCAGCAACAATTGGCCAATAATTTAATTAATCAGACGCTAAATGGTTCGGTCAAAGCCAGCAAAGACATTGACGGTATGTATCTATTCTTATCGATTGATTCAATGATCACATCATACATATTACTACTACTACTAAACAGACAAAGACATTGTATGGCAATACATATACCATCTCTTCTCTACTCTTAGTGTGTCAATCAATATCTCTCTCTCTCTCTCTCTCTCTCTCTCGTGTATTATATAATAGTAGACTATATATATGTTACCAATCGATGACTTACTGTCTGTGTCTTTGTCTGCTTTAATGCAAATCTCATACAACACACTATGATATGATAGGCAAACAATTTTATTTTTTGGAAACATTTTGTGTGTAACAAAAAAGTTATTATATTTTTAAATATTATTTATATTTTAAAGATTTTCGGATATAAATGATATATCTATATAATAGAGTATATATAAGTTATATATATTTAGATTTAATATATCAATTATTTTACAGTGCATATTATTTTAACCCAAAAAAAAGTTGTTTTTGATTTTTATTTTTTATTCAAAAAAAAACATCAGATACAGTGTGTATGTATAACAGTATTTACTCTTTGTGTATGTATATTACACAAACATACATAACAACAAAAATAATAAAAAAAGGGTATTAAAAATATAAACTAATAATAGTGATAATAATGATATAATAAATGAATAAATGACTCAATGAATAACTTAGATAAGTGAAAACTGGATTTTTTAAATCTCAATTGAAATCTCAAACAAAAAACTAAAAAAATAAATGAAAAATACAAATAGAAATATATTATATATTRTWTMTATATATATATATATATTATTTAAATAGATAATGTATTTTTGTCACTAAATTTGGTCGTCCGGCATAAAAAGCCCTAAAATAATAATACAAACAACACTATTGTATGGTTTTTGGAAACGCTATGCCTATTGTTGAAAAAACACTGTTGTTTGCGGCGATTCAGTTGTATAAATCAATTAAAATTATTTCACAGTTTTTTCAACCAAAAAAATAAATAAATAATTCACTCATTTATTCACACAATTCAATGAACAGACAACTTGACAGCAATTGAGAGGAGAGAGAGAAAAAAAAGTTAATTGAAATACACATGAAATATATGCTATATATTCACATAAATTATATTATATATAATATATATAACATGTTATTTCCAATTTAATTGTCAACTCAATTGTTAAGTAAAGTTTTGTTTGCCCGTTTCATTGAATTAATAGTATATAATATATACTGTATAAATGTACAAATATTGTATGAAACAAGTATATTATTACAATATACGGTATTAGTAGTATTAATTTAGTAATAGTATTGTGTGTGTGTTCAAAAAGGGGTATTTCAATACAGTATATACAATATAAATTATTGTACCATAATTGTGTGTGCAATTTTTTGTCAATTTTTATCGTTAATTGTCTTAAATTATTATTGATTAGCCAATGGTTTTTTCAATGGTTACACAGTTAAGTAAGTTGTGGATATAAAGAGAGAAAAAAATGTTTAGTAACTGTTTTTGACACAATTTTTTATATAGATATATAATTTCCAGTATTAATGTTAATAATTGGTTTGTTGTTTCAAAAGTTAAAGAAAATAATGATAATTGCCAAAAGTGTTTGATTATGTATTGTAACTAAATATTATGTATATACTATTATACACATTATTATATAGTGTATTACAGTATAATATAATATATAAGTAAAGTAGTGTCTCTCAATTCAAGTCATTATTTTTCCCCTCGATTTTTTGAGCCGTTTTCCCAATTGAGGACAGCCATAGGGTTAATATAATATAATATATAGTTTTAGTTAAGTTAGTTAGCAGTCGTTAAAAAAAGTTGTCGTCATTTCTAATATATATAAAAATCACTTGTATTTTATGAGACATTAGTGCAAAATTAAAGTGTTATTTAGTTACACTTGCTTTGTGTTATTGAGATTTTCAACAACAAAAATTATATACTATTTTTTGGTAGTCGTGTATGTTTTAGTAGTAGTAGTTAAATGAAATTAAATTGATTATAAACTCATGAAATTATTATATTTATAAATAAATATATATGACTGAAAAAACGTAATGTACTATTTAGAGGTTAAATAGTGATTAAAAATCGTTTTAACCATAAAAATACAGTAATATTAACTATTATTAAATTGTATAAAATGATACTGTATATTTAATTGGACCAATTGTATGGTGCATAACAACAACAACAGATATTATTTAATATTAGCCATACATTTATATACAGTATTTATAAATAGCTATACACTGTATATACTATTCTACAGTATATACAGAGAGATATATCTGCACACTATTATTAAAATATATTTTTTGTCTTTTTATTTAAATATACTGTATTTATGATATATTATGTGTACACTGCATTCCCCCACGCCCTCCCCTCCCTCACTCGTTTGTACTGCCAGTGCGCTCTCTCTCTCTTTATTTCTCTCGGTATATCTTAGCCTAAAATATTGTATCAGAATTGTAGAGAAAAAAGACAAGACTTAACAGAAACACAAAACAGTATTATTATTATATAACAGTTAAGCCATAATCAAGGTTTTCAAGGCTTGAAAAATGTTTGAAGTGGAAACAAGTGTTGGCTAATAACACAGTTTGTGGTCAAATAGTGTTGTATGTGCTGTCAATTGTACTCACACACAGCCGCATACACACACACACTAACAATACCCGTGTAGTCTATTTGAAACATTTCCAAAAAAATTTCTTTCATTCAAAAAATGACAAACACATTAACACAATACATGACAACTAAAATATAAAAATTTTGTGCAAACTTTTATGTGTTATTATTATTATTAATAAAGAAAAAAACTAATTTTGGTTTTTGTGTTATTTCTTTTTTCTATCGTTAAAAATAGAGGACTCAATCAACTCGTTTGATTGCGAAGAACACGTCAATTATCTAAAGAGGAAGATTGAATCGACATTACGCGAGGCAAAAGAGGCAAAGAAATTAAGCTGCACTGAGATACTGATCCCCCATCAGCTGACACAACACATCGCACAAGATATCATAGCCATGGCCGAGACCGAGCCCTGCGGTCTACGCGGATGCTGTCTCTACATTAATATCGAAGAGAAGACACTCTGCCGACGGTTGGGCGAAGTCAGGCTCGACAAGGGCTCAGTTCCCACATTCGAGATGTATTTAACGCTGAAGAGAGCCATTCCCGGATGGATTGATGCATTCGAGAACCGACTCCTTCGCAAAGAGTCAGTCATTCTCTCCGAAGTCTATCGGATCTCCAAAAAGAAGCTCTATAGAAGTCTTGGATCTCCTTAATATATATATATATATATATATATTTACCACAATTAAAAAAAGACAAATACAAAATACAAATTATTATTATATAAAACAATAAAACGCTAGTATTTTTTGAGTTGCGTTCAATAACGCCAACCCATCGCCACATACACACAGACAAACCATACACACAAACACCACACATACCTCCATACCATTACCACCCGATCATCCCATTCCTCACTATTCCTCAACATATAATCCTTCAATCCATCCAATCAATTAATAAGTAATAAACACCTGATCCGTTACCATATCATTGTCCATCGATAACTCCCGATATCCCCTCTATTTTGGCATTCAATTCCCATTTCCACCCATCCATGTCTACACTTTTCGCCCATCACTTGTTCACTACAACAAAAAATGTCTTAAAATCCCACCATTTGATAGATAAACTATATTTCAATTGCTAATTATTATTAATAATTATATTTTAAAAAATACAGAGAGAGAGAAAAAAAAAGATTTTATGAACAAATTGATATAATTTTTAAAAAATTGTGAAACGATTTTTATTTATATATTTTAATTATTATTTATTTACAAATATAAAGATAAAAAAACAAAGAAAAAATAATTGTGATTTATGTGTAATTATTATTATTATATTATAATTATTATTTTTCAATTATGTTTTTGTTAAACTTTTTAATAAATACAATACTTATTATTATTATATTATTATAATTTTTAGTTATAACTCTAAGGTCAGACATTATGAGAATAATGAAAAGAGATTTTATGAAAAAAAACGAAATAAAAAATTAAAAAATAATATTTTCTAAACCTGTTTTGTCTATTATTATTAAAATTATTACCGGTATTATTAAAATCATATACCGGTATATAAAATACTATAATATATAATATATGTATTTTTTATTTAAAAAACAACAACACACTTAATATATTGTATATTATATTTGATGTTAATCCAGGTAATTTAAATGTGATTGTTTTTTAGTTGTTTGTTTACTATGCGCCAAAATTGTAATTTCTTCAAAATTAAAAAAAAATTAATATATGATAATTATTATAATAATAGTTTGGTAATAAGCTAACAGAAATGATAATCAAAATTAATGTGTTTACCAAAAAAAAATCATGAACATATATCAAAATTATATATTTATTTTTTATAATATAGCTTTTATATAACTTACAAGTTAGTGTATAACTAAAATATATAATATATTGATTGGCAGCCATTTGACAGTACATATTATTTGATATACTGCATATACACAGTATATTTATATATATATATATATATACTGTATAAAGTAATGTCAATGAATCTATAGAAAAAATGCACATTGCAATAAAATATTTTCAAATTTAATTAATTATTTAAATAATACAAATGATATATTTATTGCAAATAACAAATTTAATTAAACAAAAAAATAATTTTATTATTATTATTATTATTTGCAATGCCCAGGCAAAAATAACATTTTAATTAATTATTGATTGGAAAAATTAATTCAGAAACATATTTTATTTTATTTTTTAAAACAATATTGTCTATTAAGCATTTTTTAAATATTAAATAATATATATATAACATATTTGCTACTAACTTATTTTCCTTATATCAATAAAAAATACCATAAATACAGTAATTATACTAAAAAAAACTATATTACAATTAACACGTGGCTAATTATGTAATAATATTTTCCATATTACACAAAAAAACAAGTTGTTTACCTAAAAAAATATTTATTTAATAATATAAATTAAATAATCAAATGAAATACAATACACACATAATATACAGGGTGTCGACAAATATTTTATTTTAAATGTTTAAAAAACCGGTGTTTAAGTTTTGAAAAAATAAATTTTATATAAAATTATATATTTAAAAAATACAGTATTTATAAATTCTTATATGTAATTTTAATTGCAATCAAGTTTTTCGTATATATATATACTGAACTATATAATATATTTTATCCAAAAATAATATATTATACTCACTTTGTGTATGCATGCATTGGGGGGTAAAACAAAAAAAAATATAGTGTATATATAAAGTTGAATAAAATTTGTTATCACTTTTCTACTGTATATTACGCTATTATATGTATAATACTGTACAGTGTATTAAATTTATATAAACAACACATTCAACTCGTTTACACACAATTGGGTACACAATTACGGCCTTCAAATAATACCGAAAAACTGGTTCCAGTAGTTCTATATAAAAGTGTACGTAATTTATACTCTAAGAAATCATATGGTTTCTGACATAATAACATTTTTTTGTATTATTAATAGCAAACCATATGATTATTGGTTTTTTAAGGAATTTTTTACATGTATTTTATTTATTACAGTATTATTGCAAAACATACACTTATTTTTCCTATACAATAAAAACAGCAACAAAAATAAGTTAACTAATTGTTCTGGCTTATAATTTCAAAGTCTAATTTAAATAAATAACAAATTAAAAAATTTTCAACTATTTTTTAAAAATTTTTGCATTGTCACTTTCTATGCATAATAAATTTTAAAAATAAATTTATTAAACCAACTAGCATAACTTTTAAATAATAATTTTTTTAATTGCATAAATTATTAAATATATAAACTATAATACAAATGTTTTTATTATTAATTTCAATAGTAATGTATAAATTTTAATTAATTTTTAAAAAATATTTAAATAATTTAATTTCTAACTTAATTAACACATAACTATACATTAGGTGTGCGACACCTATAGTGTGTTAAACATAGCAAATACAACAACAACTGTAATCATTACAAACACAAACATATAGTAAAACGAGACACCAGTGGCTGCACATAGCGATCATATATAATGGTAAGCATATGATAGAGACAGGTATGAGACGATAGGTGTCACCAATTTATTAGGTATCTCTTGATTACAGTCACAGCTCACTGTATGTGTGTTCAAGTGATGCAATTATGCGATACAACAACAAACAGTAAGCACTGGTATTATATTATTAATAAATTTAATAAATTATAGGACTGTCCGGCTATTGATAAGCGATCGCATGACTTGTTTATTATTATCAACTGATTGTATGTTTGTTTGTCAGTTTGTCTGTCATCTGATCCGTTAATCCATTGATTAAGAAGAGAGACAGAGAGAAAATATATATATATATATACAGTATATTATAGTCAGTCATATGACACAACACCCGTGCCATCAATGGGTCGCACAGTTAGATATTTAGTAGTAACGGGTTTATTGGTATCGCTAGTGATTGCAATGCTAACTGTCCGGTCGGTGTCCGCCGGCGGTAACGACGATGATCTCACGCCCCAAGTGGTTGCAGTGGTCAGTGATGACATCAACACCACTGCCGAAGCCATTGATGAAGACAACGATGATTTAAACGATGAAACGGCAGACGAATCAACAGTAGTACCGGCGATGACGGCCACCGACGACGACACAGATGTTTGGCCGATCGACACAAATGATTCGACAACAGCGATGGTCTCCAGTGCTCAAGACATGACGGCCAACGAGTCGTTAACAGACGTGCATACTGTCAACACTGCCGCAGCCGAAACAAAAGTTAACTGTACGCCCGTCAACACCATCTTAGCCGTCGGTACCGACAATGAGGTCAGTGATTGTTTTATTATTGAATATACTGTATAATCTCATTTGATGATCAAAATGGTCTGATCCCTGAATGTCTGCAAATTTTCATTGAAATGATTGCACAGACAGACAATCATAAGACATACTGTTGTTATTGACTATCTGTGTGTCGATAATATTTATAACAGACATCTTATCAATCAATTATTTGCTGTCTTTAGCTATTGATATTGAATTTGCATTCAAAGCAAAAACAGATAGATTTTTAGATATATAATAATCATATGATTGTATAATACATTTAAGAAATGTATATTATATTAATATACGAACAAAAATATATTAATATTATACTTAACTAATGTATTAATAATATTTGTTGACCTAATTCATGACAAATCATTTTTTTCCAATTATATAACAAATATAATTGTTTAATGAATCACTTAATTACTTACTTAAGACATGACATTTTGCTGTTTTTTTCTGAACAATTGGACTATTATTGTCTAATAATTGATAAAAAAAATTGAATATTTTATAGACAACTCTCTCTCTCTCTCTCCCAATAATTTATAGCGGATGTTTGCGTTATATTTTTGACATTATTAATATTTATTACAATCTTAAAGATAAGATATTTATTATTATTATTATTAATTTTTAAAAATCATACAATATATTATAAGTGATGACAGCAACAAAATAGTGTTTCGAGTAATCAAATTTGAAATTAATATTTATTTATTACAATTTATAGTATTTATATTATCGCATATTTAATTTTTGCACCAAAATTGGTTTTTATTAATATAAATAATAATTTAATAATAACTTAATAACAAAATTAGTTGAAATAATTTTTAGCTCAAGTATTAATCAATAAAAGCATTATTTTTATTTTTAATGAATTATTTTTTAAAGTTGTTTGACTTTTAATTAATAATTATTATGAAACACATGATAATAATAATAATTAATATAATAATAATCGCACGAATAATAATTAATAATTAAGTTACTTTACGATTGACTTGATTTTCACATTTCAGCAATCATTTGATTATATTTTAAATTACAAATATAATAATTTGATATAAATATAAAGATATTTATGTATTTGTTTCAATATTAAAATATTTTCTTTTATCTGTAAAAAATCATTACTATTTTAAAATATCATTTGTATGTAATGACTAAAAAATATAGTTTTCTCTGTTTTTATAGTATATTAAAAAATAGTAGTCAATTGAGGCAATAAATTGATCAAAACAAACAAAAAAACAACAAAACTAATAATATAACAAATTAATTACAAATAATAATTGTTTACAATGAATAAATCCTATTAATCTCTGCAATAATAATTACTTTCATATATAATAAATTTATCAATTTAATAATACTAACTAATTAATAACTATAAATTTTGAAAAACATGTTTCTATTAATAAAAAACAATCTTAATAACCAACCATTAAATTTACAAAACAAATTAATAATAAATCACAACTAATCTTTTTTTAACAATTAAAATAGTAATAATTTAAAATACATTAGTAATGTATATGTTTATCATAAATCTTATGTCATTTAAAAATTGAGCTCATTTTGTAAAATATATTGTCAATTCTGTTTTATGGCTTATATATATATATATTTATATTTTTGTTTTGAGACAACTCTTTTGAGAACATTTCTAACTTATGACTTAAAAATATTGTTTTAAAATTTTACAATTAATAGCAATTAGGTAACAATAGTTTGCCTTAAAATTTAAATATACATGTATACAGTGTTATATTTATAAAAGTATATATATATGTTTACAATTGAGACAAAAACAAGTGAATTCTAGTATTTGTATTTTATATTTTTAGTTAGAAAAACAAGTGAAACGAAAATCAAGTCATTTATATACCAAAAAAAAGCAAATGTTGTTATAGTTGTAAAATATATATATATTTGCGATGAGTTTGTTTTTGAGTGAATAGTTTGACAATAAAATTTTAAATGTCGTGTTGTAAAATGTGTGTATGTTTTTATAAATGTGATGTTTGTTTTAAAACAATAAAATTTGCAATTTATATATAATTTTTGTTATTAATGTGTAACTCATTTGTTATGTTATGTGTTATTTTGATGTCATTTATATATATATATATATTGTTTGTTGAAACGTATGATTAAAGCAAATAATGCGAGACTTTAATTATTAATATTTGTTTTGTCACAAAATATATAATGTATTTTACCAAATGATATATAAATTATATACAGTGTTTATTTATATATAATTGTTGGGGCAATTAATTGACAAGAAAAAATTGTTATATAAAAACAATATATATTTTGTGTAATGCTTTTTCAATGAAAGAAAAGTAATATATAATATCTATTATTATAATTGACTCTTATATGAGTATATTAAAATTATATATATGCAATATGTTTTACATATATATTGAACAACATAATGCAGATTCAATAAGTGGCACATAAATTGATTTTTTCTCACTCTATAAATAATAATATTAATCAATAATAATCGTCTCACACAATAAGCGATAAAATGAATAATTTGATTGGATATATAAAATGGTAATCAAATGTCTATATATGTAATAATCACTGTTATATTTGGAAGAGAAAGCAAATGATATTTTTAAAAAAGAAAAAAGATTTAATGGAAAAATTTTATGTATTTTCTATGAATGTATGTGTAGTGTGTCTGAAAAAATAGTTTTTAACTCCAGTTCCCCTATCTTTCTCTCTCTCAATCTGACAACAATGTGTTATTTTAATTACAAATATCCATCGACTGTGGACTGTAGGCTTCGTTTTTGATGCTCAGAGAGGCTGCCGATAGAATCGGATCGTGCGTCAGCTCATTAAAGTGAAAGTACTGTTGTGCGGGACTGGCCGATGGCAACGATGAGCCGAGACCCGAGCTGGCCTGACTGGGAGACAGAGGCGATGTCGGTGCTGTGTACTCTTGTTTAATAATCCGATGTAGACTCTGAGTGGCGGCAAATTTGTCGATTTCGTTGAGCGGTAACGAGTTCGGTGCTGTCCTGAATGGGTCACCGCCGCCGCCAGTGGACATGTTGTTAGTATTGTCGCAATTATTGTTTGTAGTATTATGACATGTATTGACCTGTAACATAAAAAGCATAGATAACATTAGGTTAAAAAACAATTTATATTACAATATTCAACTACATATACATAATAACGATAGCAAATGAATGTAAACGAATCAATAGATCAATTGTCAGCAGCACTGGTAATATCATCGATACTATTATTATTGCTCAATATTGTGGCTATTTTTAACAGCAATTTTATTTTATCAAAATAGTACTTTTCAAAGTACTATAATTGATAGCACAGGGAGTGAGTGAACAATAATTGATTATATTATATATTAGTTAATTGAGGTTTTATATATATTAATATATATCAGCAATTATTGTTTGTAGATAAGGTCTGAGATTGTGAGCACATGTACAGTAAAATAAGACTGAGAGATCTGATGCAAACCAGTGAGCTCTTGAAGCCATTGTTTCGATACAAAGTTCATTAATTAATTAATTAAAGTAATTATAATAAGTAAGAAAATTGTGAAACCATTTGTGGCCAATTTGAGGTGGAATTCGGTTGGTGTTGTGTCTGAGAGTTTTGTTGTCTCATCTGTAACTGTAAATCTTGGAACTGCATCTGTAGTAACCGATAGTTGCTCTCCATTTCCCTATATTTCTTGTCCTGTTCATTGAGTCGATTATTTTCTCTCTTGAGTAGTCTCACATAGTCTACGGATGCCTTCAATATGGTTCCCTTATTTTGTTTCATGTCTTTGACGAGATCAAAGTGTTTGGTGTCCTCCGATCGGGGCAACAAAGTGCCCAACTCTTTGATTCGGTCGTTAATATTATAACGTCTTCGTCGTTCAATTTGATTGTGATTATCCTTTTTCTGGCGATCCTTTTGCCACGCTTTAAGCTCTTGATCGTTGAGTTGTGGACACGATGATGAAGATATGTCATGAGTAGGTGTTGTCGGTTCCTGTTCCAGAAAGTAGTTCATATCGGCTGGAAGTGTGGCGGCAATGGCTCCGACTAATTGGTCGTCCATTTGGGCCGACACATCTCGACTATCGAAACCGCCCAACACATCGAACACGTCGTCCAACTCGGATGTCGAACAGGCAGAGCTGGGCGGCGCTGACAATGGACTGTCGGGACTCAATGGAAATGGGGATTGCGGACCATTTAGGCCTAAGGCGCTCGATGATAGCGAGTGACCAGTGTTTTGGTGCGTATGGGTGTGATCTTGCGGTTGCAGACAATTGGGTGATAGCTGTGAGGGCACGTTCGGCACCGAATGTGAATGTATCGGATGGGGATGTAATGGACTGTTGTGTTGTTTCTGTTGCGTCTGTAGCACGTGATAATTGGTCGGATTCTCCAGAGTTTGTCGAACCAATTGTTGGCTTTGTTGTACTTTTTGTTGAAGAAAGTGATGCGATGTCATCACATGAGGGAACTGTTGCTGCAAACTCAGCGGCACTGATGTCGTGTGCTGAGGTTGTAGAGCACCGGGATTTGTGGTGTTTGTCACCAGCGACTGACTCATCCTCGGCAACGACACCGGCGGCTGTTTTTGGCGCAACTCTTCTTGGATGAGCTGCTGTTTCATCAGCTGTTGCTTGAGGTTTGTTCGGCTCATGGCTTCAGGCAAACGATGATTAATGCGATCCGTTATTAATAATAGCGACGACTCTTTGTAGGGAACAGACATTTACAACAAAATAATTAAAAATAAAAAGTTAGTGAAAGTCAGTGACAAAACTATTTAATTATCAACAAAATATATATATAAATAAATCACAGAAAAATATAAAATAAAAGTTGAAATTTCTTTGAAATTAGTTTAACTTTCGCAACAGTTTGCTTAACATTTTGACTTTTGTTTTGTTTTTGAATCGATATTTTCTTTTTGTCACTTTTTTCTTAGTTCTTTGACAGGACATTAAAAGCACAGATCGTATCGGATATTATATATAACTTTCATATACACTATATCTTATATACAGATGAAATGCTAACAAAAAAGTCAACAAACTTATAATTTATGCTTATTTTTTGCTACTTTCTCCTCAAATTTTTTTTCACTCACTCTCTCTCTCTCATCAACAGTAATTCATACACACATATAATATATAGTATATGTAATTTATATTACAAACAAAGAGTTGTAGTTCAGTGAAAAAATAATAATTAGAAGTAATAAATAAAATAAAAGTAAATTAAAAGTCAAAGTTTTTTTGTGAAGAGAAAGGAGAGAACAAAAAACTTATATTATTTTTTATTTCTAAGAGAAATGTGTAAAAATATAAATAATAATATTATTATTAATCACCATTTTTTGACTAATTAGACAACAATGATATATTCATATTTGCAGTGCAAATAGTTTTTTAATAAAAAAGTTGAAGAGTTAGAGAGTACACTAATTTAAATAAAATAAATGTTATTTTTAGAGGTATTTTCCCTATTAATTATAATGTATTATTTATTATTATTATTCAGAGAAAATTTAAAAACTCTCATCCAATACTTGTTTACCATTGAGTTCAAGGATTTCTATGAGATCCACACATTCACAACAAAATTATAATTTAAAAATTATTTATATATATATTTAAACACAAAAACACTTTATCATTGTTTGTGTTCATTATTATAACTCACTCACACCGACAACAAAATACATTAAACCTCACGTAAACAATGAATAACATTTGGATGATATTAATATCAATTATATTTTTTCAACAAAATACTTTAAAAACACTTTTATTTAAATGCTATATATTTATAGTTACTATAAATTTTATATCATAGTCTAACAACAAGTATATACTATATGTTTGTGAGTGTATGTCTGAATCGCATATATTAATAATAAAACTTTTTTAAACATATTTTTAAATGCCATTTATTATACAAAATTATACTTATTATAATATCCACATTTATATTTATGGTGTATTATTTATAACTATTAAATAAATAATATTTAATCCTTTAATTGAATTGTGAACTCCACAGCAAAAACGAGTTTTTTCAATTCAAATCATTTATTATTTATATTTTATTGCTATTAATTTCATATAAATTTTATCGATCAAAATGTCTTTTTTAACATAAAAACTCAACATATTATATGCTATCAGAATATATATATAATTTAATGTGTAGCGCTTAAAAAATACTTACGGGTTTTAAAATAATTATTTTTGTAAAAACTGCACAAAATGTATATCCAATATAATTAAATATGATATGAAATGTTATGTCTATTTAATTAAAAAAACACATCAAAGCGTAATTATTAATAAATTAATTTATTTAATTAGCATCAATAAACAATATATATATACTGTATATAATTATTAATTGAAACTATTAGGCAAACAAATCAGTGCATCCATAGCCCATGTGTTTAGTGTATTGTGTTTACAAGTGGTTAGTCTTTAACTATCATTTTAATGAAATCACTTGAAATATATATATATATAGTTCGTAAAAATCAATAATTATAAAAATAACTAAAATTAAAAATATATAATAGCTATTATTATTATCACTGATAGGCAAACATATACACAAAATTTATTGACGTGAATGTGCATCTAATTAATAAGTTGGTTATATTAAATTTAAAAAATATATATATAAATTTATATATATATTATTATAGTTAGATTGGTTGACTTGTGCTGAAATTGATAGCACTTTTTAAGCGCACAACACATTACATATCATATTAAATACAGACAACAACATATACAGTAAATTTATATATAAATATATAACACATACACACAACACAACAAAAACACGTTAAATACTAGAAAACAACAGTAAATTAAATCTCGATTTGCGTTATAATTATTGGCAAAAACAGTGCGTTTAGTTATGTTGTGGCCATGAAATTCATATACAACTAAATATATATATATATATATATAAATGCCAGTTAATAGTATTTACTATTTTTATAAATATCTGATGTATTTTAAAAGCTGTTTTAAGAGTATGAAAGAGAAAGAGAGAAACAACACAACAAACGTAAAATGTGTTTGAAATTTATATTTAAAAGGCATTCAAAATATTTTTTTCAATGTTTGCGATTATTGTTTACAAAATATATAAATCAAGTTAAAAATTTATGTCTTTATAATTGAATTTTGTACTTCAAATTGGAAAATATATATCACTATTTTAATATATATATATTGATTATTTAAATTTATCAAAAGTAATGACATTTTTAAAACTATTAGTATTGAGATTTTTCTCACAGCAAATAATGATTTTATATTTATATAAACTATTTTTTATATTTAAATGTCCACTAAATTTCATATACAGACAAAGTGTATATGTTATGTGATATTAATGTTATGTTATTTTGAGGCAAACATTGATCATTAAACACATTTTGTTATCAATAATTTTTTTTTTAAATATTTGTTAATAACATAAGGAAATTAACATTTTTATAGTCAATAGATACTTACTTTTATTTTGTCACTTATAATAGCTTTTTGTTTGACATTAGTTATCAGATATTATATTTTTTATGATTATACGATGATATTTCCAATTGGTTTGTTGTAATTTTTTTCCACATAAATAACAATAATAATAGTATTAATTGACACTTTTCTTTAAAAATATTACAAATAATATCATAAATATATCAACGATATGATGATCGCATAAATAGACTTATTTTTTCATTATTATTATTATTAAGTCATTATTATTATTATTATTATTATTATATGTTTATTATTAATAATAGTCAATAGATTTYAATTTCAAAACCATTGGACGACAACAGTCTATAAATGATATATTAATACATTAAAACATATATACAATAAATAATTACAACAATATTAAAAAAGCAATTGTATTGATAATAATGATGAATGATGTCTATATAATAAAAAATGTACTTGGTTAAATAATTATTTATTATTGACACCACTACTACCAGTATTGTTGTCTACAATATATTATTATAAATATATGATATATCTTAATACTAACTAATTAATAATAATAATAATAATATCAATAATAAATGTATTTAATAATAGCCATAGCATTCACTGGATTCGTGTTATGTTTTCATAGCACACATAAATACTGTAACTCCTAATGACTACTAATAAACATTATATTATATATCATACAGTATTTTAACAACAAAAACAACAACATTGCAAAAGYATTGGGCTTTTAAAATTAAACTCAAATTTATATATAAATGACAAAAATGTTATACAGTTTTTTCATGTACACACACACACACACTGTTGTATACACACTCACACACTAACTAACTGCACACTAGCGCCTAACAGTGCTTGCAATGCATTACTATACTATACCGTAGGGTAAACACCATTATACACTCGATATATAAAACATAGGGATTAATATATACTTATATTACTAATACAGAAAAAAACTTTTTTTTAATTAATTTTGTATTTTTTTTATAGTTAACAGACAATAATTGAATTTACCTTTTATTTAGGCATCAATTGTCGCTTCAAAATTGCTTTCATTATATTGTAATAATAATATTATTATTATTAGTATTAACAAACAGTACAGTAGAGAGTACAGTATACACAATGAGTTTATGTATCATACAGTGGTAATTAATTTTAATGTATAGTGTATATGTACTACAAGTGTATGTATTAATATATTGTACTGTATTTATAATACCAGTGCAGGTACTTTACACATGTGTATAGTGTATCGATAAACACACTGTAAATATGTATATGCACTCTGTATATACTGTATATTCAATATACTATACAGTATTCAGTATACTATATTGGCTTAACACTACTGTAGCGCTACTTTTTATTACTRTACAGTAAATAACACTACAAAATACCCTCTCTCTCTCTCTCTCTCTCTCTCTCTCTCTCTCTTTCTCTCTCTCTCTCTCTCTCTCTCTCTCTCTCTCTCTCTCTCTCTCTCTCTCTCTCTCTCTCTCTCTCTCTCTCTCTCTCTCTCTCTCTCTCTCTCTCTTTCACACACACACATACATTACTCGTACAAAAATGCATTACATGTACGACCAGTTAAAAATGTTACACAATATATGTACTATACTTTGTGCCCCTAGTTTTTGTGTGCTCTACCAGTGCTTCAGTTATCCCTTATATTTATATTTTTATCTTATCGTTGCCATTGGTTTTGCACACAAATAGAGTCAATGTTTTATTAAATCCCATTTTTCTGTTTCGATGCTATACTACTGTATTTCTAGAGTGATGTTATATACGGATTAGTTATTAATATGATTGTATTATACATTAAATTTATATAACCCATACCTCCACTACTGTTACTGTGCTGACAGTTATGCCATCCATCGATAGTGTTAAGCGTTCATAAAGTTATGCCAAACTTTTTTTTATAATTATCAATAGTTATATTTTTTTGTAGTAATTAATATACTTTATATTACAAAATAGTTATTGAGTTATTATTTTTTTATTGATYATAGACTCAAATAAATCAAACTCAAGTGATTATAGTGAACGCTACACGACTGAGTCAATACTTGGAAAGTAAGCCAAACATTAGTCAATCTACAGGTGCCGACTGTGCACTAGTTATCTTTTATTACAACTGGTGCCCATTCAGTGCCCGATATGCGCCACATTTGAAYGCTTTGGCCCGAATTTTCCCGCAATTTCATGTACTGGCCATCGATGCCTATGGACTTAACAGGTATTGTATTTCTACATTCAAACTGGTAGTCAATAAACTTTTTGAAAACAACGTATTTTTAATTATTTTCTAATTTTTTTAGTGTTAATATGAGATACGGTTTGGTAGGAGTTCCCACTGTATTGTTCTTTCATAATGGCAAAGTTGTGGGCAAAGTGAACGACACGGATCCAACAATCGAAAGTTTTGCCATTTATATCACACAACTGACTGGTATATCACCGGTACTGCCGACCAATGTCACTGATGATGACCTATTGGGTCCATTGTCGAGTACACCTGAACCTCATTTCGACTATCTATTGTTATTCTCGTGGATATTTGCATGGATCTGCTTCTCCTATCTGTTTGCTAAGTCCAACCTGTTTAAGACAACACTGGAAGCCGTGAGAAACAATTGGAGAGAAGCCGAGGCACAGCACGAACACATTGATTAGCATTTTTAAAAAATAATTATTATATACCGTTCCTCATAATGAGTGACAAAACAATTTGTTTTTATAAGAAGTTGTTAATAATTAATAATGAAATAAAATTTATATTATTAATTATTATCGATTAATGATTTTATATATTTATTTTTATTTTGTTAAATACAGTAATTTGATAATAAATAATTATAACTGTAATTATTATTTTTTTTTGTAAATCATTATTAGTTTTTTATAATTAAAGGATTATTGTATATTCATTATTGAATAGATAAATAAAAAAATAAGATAATTTATTCATAATAAATTATTGTAATMATAAATATAAATAAAATTTTTAAAAAATTAAATCAAAAATTGATTCACACTTTTAAATTATAAAATTTTAATTAATTTATTAATATAATTTACATATGACATTTAATATTTAAAAAAAACTACCTTGATTATTAATAAGTCAATAGGTGCCACTCATAAGCCTATAAATGGGTACAGTATAATAAAACAATTATTAATAAATGTAATTTTATAATATAAAAAAATACTGCATTACACTATTAATATATAAAAATACGGCCATAGTGTCATATATGTTTGACAGTGTAACGTAATTTATGATCGATACATAACACATTAAATAGTCATCTAACATATTTAATATTAATTGAATGTATATTAAATTAATTATGGTTTATAGATTAGGGATGTGTAATAGCATTATAAATAGGGTTACTTAGGTAACATTATTTAACCGACTTTCTGTATTCGCCAATATATAAAAATACCTGTACTGTACTGTATTGTACTGTACTATAACATGACCTTCAAATAGACAATCATTGAATAGTATTGAAGAAAAAAAATAATAGAAATTGATTTTTTTAATATAAAAATAAAATTAACTAATAAACATAATTTACTTATAAATTGATAAAACCTATTAAATAAAAATTAAATAAAATGATCAATGTAATTTAATGTAATTTAATGTAATTTAATGTAATATATTGTACATACTAATTGAATTAGACAAATCAATAATAATTATTTAACAACAAAAATAGGTTATACTGTACTGTAAATCAATTGAAAGTAAAAGACGTAATGCATGTGTGACCCAATTGGCGGCCATTTAGTGCGGCATTCAATGCATTCAATGCTTGACTATAACTATACAGACAAGCCTTACATTACATTTACATTACATTTACAATTCATTTACAAATTTATTGCACTCTTTGTCTATATCTGTAAAAGTTTGGACAAAATAATTATCATTTGAAGAGTCAATTGATTTAACCATTTAATAGATAATAATAATAAGGTAAGTGTTGTCTCTCTCTCTCCCCGTTATGTAACCGTGTGGTCATCCGTATGGTCACGACAAACACCTGTGCTATAGATTGTGGACAAAAAATATACACAAAAAAACACCGGTTATGTCGGCGGCAACGGTTGTCGCACGCGTTCACACGTCCTACTACTGACCGGTGATGATGACTAACCCCTCTCTGCCATCAACACAGACACACAATAATGGCTGACACAGAACAAGATCTTTTGGACTACGAGGAGGACGACGAACAAACTAACAATGTGGCCGACGGTAACAACGCTGGCGGTGCCGTTGAGGCCAAAAAGGGCGGTTACGTATCGATTCATTCGTCGGGTTTTCGAGATTTTCTACTGAAACCGGAACTGTTGCGGGCTATCATTGATTGTGGTTTTGAACATCCGAGGTTTGTAACCATTTAGCTACTTATTTTATTGATAAATATCTTAATTCCGGTTTGTTTTTAAAATTTTCAGTGAAGTCCAACACGAATGTATCCCTCAGGCCATCCTCGGTATGGACATCCTATGTCAGGCCAAGTCCGGTATGGGTAAGACGGCGGTATTCGTATTGGCTACACTCCAACAATTGGATCCCGTCGAAGGTCAGGTGTCCGTACTGGTCATGTGTCACACTCGGGAGTTGGCTTTTCAGATTAGCAAAGAGTACGAACGCTTTTCGAAATACATGTCTGTCATTCGGGTGGCCGTCTTTTTCGGCGGTATGAACATCACAAATGATGAGAAGGTGTTACGTACTAATCCGCCTCACATTGTGGTCGGCACTCCCGGCCGTATACTGGCTTTGGTCAGAAATAAGAAGCTAAACCTGAAGCACATCAAGCATTTCATTCTCGATGAATGCGACAAAATGTTGGAACAGTTGGGTATGTTTTGTGATTGTTGTCAAACATTTTTATCTTTGGATTTAGAAATAATTGTTTGTAATATCAGATATGCGTCGAGACGTTCAAGAGATCTTTAAGGCGACTCCGCACGAGAAACAGGTGATGATGTTTAGCGCCACCCTATCGAAAGATATCCGACCCGTTTGCAAGAAGTTTATGCAGGATCCGATGGAAGTGTACGTCGACGACGAAACCAAACTAACACTTCACGGTCTGCAACAGTATTACGTAAAACTAAAGGATACGGAGAAAAATCGCAAACTATTTGAACTGTTGGATGTGCTTGAGTTCAATCAGGTCGTCATTTTTGTCAAAACAGTTCAACGATGTGTGGCTTTGGCTCAGCTGTTAGTCGAACAGAACTTCCCGGCCATTGCCATCCATCGGGCAATGACTCAAGAGGATCGATTGTCACGATATCAACAGTTCAAGGACTTCCACAAGCGTATACTTGTGGCCACCAATTTGTTTGGTCGCGGTATGGACATCGAACGAGTGAACATTGTGTTCAATTACGATATGCCCGAAGACAGCGACACATATTTGCATCGTGTGGCCCGCGCCGGACGTTTCGGTACCAAAGGATTGGCCATTACTTTTGTAAGCGACGAAACCGATGCCAAAACATTGAACGAAGTTCAGGATCGGTTCGACGTCAATATACCCGAATTGCCCGAAGAGATCGACATTTCCAGCTATATTGAGGGACGTTAGGTGTGTATATGTATGCGTGAAGACCTATCGATTGGTTGATTAATTGAATGACTGGCGATTGTGTGTGTATATGAAGACATAAATAATTATTAAATCTTGTTTGTTTTGATTTTTAATTATTCATTTAATTAAAAGAAAAATGTAATAATTCATTATTATTTAAACATATTTTTTGTGTTTAGTCATTAATTGTCTTCAATTTTTTTGTAATGTTTATTATAATTATTATTTTACTTTTAATTGATATCATAATTATGAATAAAACTATTCTGTAATCACCAAATTMTGTATGATTTAAATGATTATTTTTTAATTGTTTTAAATATTTACAAATCATTCATTATTACTAATACTTTTTAAAAAATAATTTTTATATTTAATTGCGTTATACCAATAGCAACAAAAATGTTTATTGCTTCGGGTTATTTTTGCCAATTGGTTGACATTTATTTAGTCTTATACTGTATTATCACTGATATATCTTTTGCATATTATATTTGTACATTTTATGTGTGTATATTGACATATATATATATATATATAAATTATTTTTTGTATTTTATTTTTGCTTAATTAATATGAAAGTTGCGTATCCACAATACACTTGTTGTTGATGTTGTTAAAGTTATGCCAAAGAAAATACCTGTCCCGCTGATGGTGACATTGGTTAGTGCGTTACCTGATTCAAGGTTAGTATATACCCAGTAAAATGAGAGCCAATGAGGTGCTCAAGAATGTGATACTACAGCAACAAGAGGTAAGATGATGAAGAATAAGAAGAAGTTGTTGATGTAAATGAAGATAAAAAGCCTATAAATAAGACTAAAACTTTATAATAGTCTAAAAGTCTGGAATCAACATTTGATTTGCAAATAATATTAGAAACTTTGTTTTTTAAAAAAAAACTACCTGAGCTTTTATAACTACTGACCAAATATGACTTCATATACGGATAAAGGAGTTAAGCCGGAAAACGGCCGGTTCGTACATTTTGACCACATTGTGTTTTGGGTGGGAAACGCCAAACAGGCCGCTCTCTACTATAGTGTTTATCTGGGTTTCACTCCCTATGCCTATCGGGGACTGGAGACCGGTTCCAGGGAAGTGGTTGCTCATGTAGTCAAACAAAACGATGTAATTTTCGAATTTCAATCGGCCCTCAATCCGGGTAATGAGGAAATGGGTGCTCATTTAGTCCGTCACGGAGACGGTGTCAAAGATATTGCGTTCAGTGTCGAGAATATTGACTTCATTGTAGACAAAGCTAAAGCTCGGGGAGCAGTCATTGTTAAGGATATACACGAAGAAAAAGATGAGAATGGAACAGTTAGGTTGGCTACTGTCAAAACATTTGGTGACACCACTCATACATTTGTCGAGCGGACCAACTATAGAGGTCTTTATTTGCCTAATTATAAACCATCACATGTAGAGGTATTTATTAAAAAAAATTTAATTAACAAATTTAATAACTTTAAAAACTTTTTTCACATTTTTCTTACTCAAAAAATAGACTTTACATTTATCTACTCTGCCTAAAGTTAACCTAAAATTTACTGATCATTGTGTGGGTAATCAACCGAACGATGCCATGGAATCTGTTACCCAATGGTATGAGAAAAGTCTATTATTTCATCGATTTTGGTCCGTAGACGACAAACAAATTCATACGGAATGGTCATCGTTGCGGTCGATTGTTGTTACCAATTGGGATGAGACAATCAAAATGCCCATCAATGAGCCGGCACCGGGAAAACGCAAATCCCAAATTCAAGAATATATTGACTATTATGGCGGTGCGGGTATTCAACATATAGCTCTCAATACGGATAACATTATTGAATGTAAGTCAAAGTCTTGTTTTTCAAATAATTGTTTTTTTTGTTAATAAATTTGATGAAAAATTTCATAAATATAAAAAACAAATTAGCTCTAAAAGCACTGAGAGCTCGTGGCCTGGAGTTCCTCAAAACACCCGACTCTTATTATACACAATTGCGTGAGAATCTCAAGTCGTCGAAAGTGAAGATCGTCGAGGACTTGGATGTACTAAAGAAGCTCAACATTTTGATCGATTACGACGACAGTGGATATCTGTTGCAAATCTTTACGAAACCAATGCAGGACAGGCCTACTCTGTTCATTGAGATTATACAGCGCCGTAACCACAATGGTTTCGGTGCCGGAAATTTTAAGGCCCTTTTCGAGGCTATCGAAACGGAACAAGAGCTCAGAGGTAACCTATAATAAGGTGGGGGCAAAAAATACAGTAACAAAAAATATACCGGTAATAAATGATTATCATTTTATATTAAATAATTCATTTACTATATAAAACAATATATTTGGCATATTTTTTTGTGATTATGTTTTAAACTTATTTTTATAAAATAATATAATTTTTTGTTTATATTTTTTTAATTAATCAAGTTATTATTATATTTTTATATTGTGTCACATGTTTTTTTTAAATTTGTTGTTGATATTGATTTCAATCGTGTTTTTGGGAAATTTTCCAAAAATAAAATTGTGTTAAAATAAGTAATTAACAATTTATACAAAAAATTATTATTATGAATTTGATTATACTGTATATCACTTAATTTAATTAATGTCAACTGTTCATAACTTTTTTTAAATTTTTTATTTCACAATATTATAATTGATATAAAAAAATTGTAAAATTTGTAATTGACATTTATTTTAATATACAATACATCAAGTATTAATTGAAATATTACTGTATTTAATTAATTTTTCAAATAATAAACTATAAATGAATAGCAATTTTATTTGAATTTCAATAAAAATAAAATAAACATAAATGTTTTCAGGTGCAATTTTAATGTATATACTTATATTTTTTAGATACAATATAATTATTATATAAATGTATAGAAATAATAATATAGAAATTAATATAATAAAAACAATATTTGTATAATTTAAAAAAAAACTACAAAACATAATTGTACTTTAAATACACAGTAGTATTTACCAATTTTGTTTCTAAAATATTAATCATATGATCAAGCAGATTTATTAATAGTAATAAACAAATAAACTTTTAAAACAAATATTACACTCATTTGATTCCTAACTCTTTTTTCAATTTTAATAAAATGTTATCAAAAGTTTAATGACAATTACTTATGGATTATATAAATCTATAATAAAAGCTAAATACAGTATATTTATTGTGATAAACAGTTTCAATACTAAGATTAAATGGTAAGTTATTCCTCCCATTTATTACTGTTGTTGTATTGTATTATACATTACTGTACAAACATAATAATATTAACTTGAAATAAAACAAAAATAATAATTATTATTATAAATTAATTTTTGTTATGTTAGCAAATTGTATACATAAAAATTGAAATTCTATATCTTCGCCTAGATCATTTTACAAATAATTTACATTATAAAACTGTCTAAATATAATAAATATTGAAAATAATAAATATAATCCATTATTCAAATATAAAATACAGTAAACTATAGTACAATTTTTTCGCTAATCTAATCATGGTACATTTTTATATACAGTAGATTAACGATTTCACATAACTTTAAAAAAAACTAGTAATTAATTTAAATAAAAAGCAATCAGCGATCAAATTGAGAGTTAAATACAGTTTTATTTTACAAAATAATAATAAATGATACAAATTAATGCTAAAATTATAATTTAAATAAATTAATTAGTAATATAAACTGTACAAAACTAGTATCATCAAGTTATTACTAATGTATCGATTAATAATTATTTAAAGTGTATCAAATAGTAGTTATAATAGTTGCTTAAAAACGCCAAATAGTTATTGAAATAATTATTAATTTTTTAAAAATATATGCAATAAATACAATGGTTTTTATTAGATTGGATGATAAAATAATATTTTTAATTATTTTCTTAAAATATCATACGTTTTTTTACTTAAAATATTTTTTTAATTTAGAAAACCTCTCAATAGTTGTTATTATAGTTATTGAAATAGTTATTTATTTTTTAAATATTTGCAAATAATATATTATACATTTGTTTTCAGTATATATACAAAAATGATGGCACAAATATGCAAATTATTTCCATTGTTAACAAAATAATATGAATTAAAAACATTTTAAAGTTATATATAATTTTTGTAACTTTACATATATTTGTACAATATTTTACATTTTAATACTGTACTTATATTTTTCAAAACCATTGAAATAGTTATTTATAAGTTTTTATAGTTACTAATCCATTAAATAGTTATTTATAGTTATAATAAAATTTCGGGAATAGTGTCCACTGGCCATATTCGGTGTATAACCGACAAAATAATTTTTTTTAGTTGGAAATCATGACATTAATTATTACCCATTTTATAACCAGTAAATTTTTACAAATTATATGTTAAATAAAAAATATAATATTTTAAATTTATATTAAAAGTAATAATAATAATTATCATAACACTGTTATAATAGATATGATTATTGAAATTAATTAATTAACTAATCATTTGATTGTATTAATAATAATAATAATAAAATAATGGAAAAGTCTATCACATTATATATGAATAGTACTAAACATATCTTTCACTTCCATAACTGCTAAACAAAACGAGAGTCAAATCGACTATAATATCGAATGAATGGCTCAATAAAGGAGTGAATGTTTGGCTTATATTAAAAGTATTCATAAATGTTATAAACATTTAGTACTACAGTATATGTATGTATAATATGTATAGAAGTACTACATTGTGCTCAACACTCATATCTATAACAGTTTGAACAGTCAGTCAGTTATAGTGTGTTTGTGTGTTGTGTTGACTCTGTATTGAAATAATAGTTAAAAAAGCATTGAATTGAATGAACACTACGGTTGCCATTCATTTGTATGAATCACATCTCAAAACAACATAACATATCGCTTAAGATATATATCAGTCATTAGACTATTAAACCACTTAACATAACCACACCATTTGACTACTATATCTGGTGGTCAACTGCATCATCAGCAGCAACAGCAGCACTGGTGTCTCTTTTTTCTGCTGATTACACATACATTTTGACAGCCCATCCCATTTGATCCATCAGAGAACGTGAGCTCAGGTGATGACAATGTTGTTATGACAGCCATTTCTCCGGAGATAAACTCAGATTAGGAGCAAAATAGACAACATTACGGATCGCTTAAAAACAAGAACAAGAAGAAGAATAAGACATTCTGACCCATCATCTGATCACAYCATCACCAATACAAAGAGCACTCATTCATTACATCTGATCCATAGTTGCCGCTGCAGACGAAATGGTCGATTCAGACAAATTGAATATCGACTCAATTATTGCCCGACTGCTCGAAGTTCGCGGTTCAAGACCCGGCAAGAATGTCCAGTTATCCGAAGCCGAGATCAAGAGTCTATGCGTTAAGTCGCGCGAAATATTTTTAAGTCAACCAATACTTCTGGAACTGGAGGCGCCCCTCAAGATATGCGGTGACATTCACGGCCAATACTACGATTTGCTGCGTCTGTTCGAATACGGCGGGTTTCCGCCCGAAAGTAATTACCTATTTCTGGGCGATTATGTCGATCGAGGAAAACAATCGTTGGAAACAATATGTCTTCTGTTGGCTTATAAGATCAAATATCCGGAAAATTTTTTCCTCTTGAGAGGCAATCACGAGTGCGCTTCCATTAATCGGATCTACGGTTTCTATGATGAATGCAAACGCCGTTACAATATAAAACTGTGGAAAACATTTACCGATTGTTTTAACTGTCTTCCCGTTGCCGCTATTGTCGACGAGAAGATATTCTGCTGTCACGGCGGGCTCAGTCCTGACCTGCACTCTATGGAACAGATTCGCCGAATCATGCGGCCGACCGATGTTCCCGATCAAGGTTTGCTCTGTGATCTCTTGTGGTCCGATCCCGACAAAGATGTCATGGGTTGGGGTGAGAATGACAGAGGCGTCTCCTATACGTTTGGCGCCGATGTTGTCGGCAAGTTCTTACACAAACACGACTTGGACCTCATATGTCGCGCCCATCAGGTATGTTAACCATCATATTCTGATCAATCCATTAATCTAACTATTATTTATTGTTGACGTTTGTGCACAGGTTGTTGAAGACGGCTACGAGTTCTTTGCCAAACGTCAATTGGTTACACTGTTTTCGGCGCCCAACTATTGCGGTGAATTCGACAATGCGGGTGCTATGATGTCGGTCGACGAGACACTCATGTGCTCCTTCCAGGTATGTCTACTACTATCCTAATCTTTGTACTTAACTATTATCATCACATCAGACAAAGTATTTCACACTTTTTGTTTTTATAAATTTTTTCGTAATCGATAAACATTTAATAAGTTCATTGCCATATCTATCATAACAACACACAAAACATCAATTTAGTTTTTTTTCGGAAAGTCTCTTTAAAAACAACATAAAACAGCGATTTTCTGTGTAATATAATATAATAATCAATAGATTTTTTTGTTTAGTTGTAGATAAAAGTCAAATAACAACAGTGTGTTTCTTATCATAATTATCATAACACTTAACACTCCAGTGATTATAAATATATTAGTTATACAAAACTACTTGACATAAATATATTAGGTGTTATAAAAATGTAATTATCATATTATTATTTTTGTTAAGTTATTTATGATATTTAATCATTTATAATTGATCCTTGGATCTATGCGGTTGGTTTGAGAATGTCAAGTACTGTTTTTTTCTCATCCCTGTCCTTAATTATTACATATTTATGTTAAACATCTACCAGTATTGATGATATTTTTGATAGACACACTTGAATATGAATGCATATGAATTACAGTATATATATATATATTTGTTTATATTGTTGTTAACAGATCCTAAAGCCGGCTGACAAGAAAAAGTTTCCATACGGAGCCATGAATGCCAATCGACCTCTGACTCCACCACGAGGTCAGGTCACCAAAAAGAATAGCAAGAAATAATTGAATCGATACATGTTTTTCTGTCTATCCATCTGTTTCTATACCGTTACATAAATCACATTTGTTTTTTTATCTCTCTCTCTCTCTCTCTCTCTCTCTTCCATAAGTAACAGTTTATAACGATTTTAATTTAATTAAGAAAACAGTTTTTGGTTTAGAGTTTAGTTATTTATATATTTGATGACAGAATTTAACGGATTTGTTTGATAACCACATGAGATAGGGATTTGTTTTATTAATTTTCTTTCCATTAGTAGATTTATCAAAATATTTTTTATAATGAGACAAACAATAGTAGTTTATATTAACACACAAACACACTATAAAAACACTTGTAATATTTAATAATGTGTTTTTTTCTATCTATCTAAGGGTCGGTCATTACATAAATAGTAAAAAAATAACTATATTTATAATTTATGAATCATAAAAATCTCTGTAAAATATTTGTTTATTTTTTTCGTTACAAAAAAATGCCATCAATTTTTATGATCTCTTAAATTAATATAACATCAAATAGAAACAAATAATTGATCGCACATTATGAACAACAATTAGCTCGTAAATCGTTGCTATAAATAGTCTAAAGTGTACTATTGATTAAAATTTTTATAAATTATCTAAATTATAGTAAACTGGGTTTGTCACACCATTTTATAATTACAATTGATTTAATGTATTTGAAACATGATATTTTTATTAATTTAACCTACACTTTATATGTATAAATATCAGATTTTTTTACAAAATAATCAATTAATTATTGTTTTATTATTAAATTACATTTTTGAGTATACTATTATTATCTCTTAAATTATTGAAAAATTTTTATATTAGTACAAATTGGTAGATATTTATAGCAACTATTTACAGAATAGTAAACAAATTTTTTATTACATATGTGTTTTCAATTTTTTAATGAAAATATTTAAAAATTTATTTTACAAGAGAGTGTATGTGAAATTAATTGTAAGGTGTATTTTTTTTATTGGCCCACTCTTTGTTTTTTTGCTAATTTATCTTTATTATTTATTAAATAATAATAATTATTATTATTTGTTTAAAATTTTTTACAAATTATAATTTAAAACTTAAAAAGGAAAGAATTTATTTCTTATGGTTTGTTTGTTATATATATATAATTTTTGAGTCACAGTATATATTTTTAACATTTCTTAATATATATATTGTATATGTTTTAATGAATGTGCAGAAAATTATGCATTTTATTATTAATTATTATAAATTAATTTTGAGAAAAAATCTGAGATTCATATCAAACACAAAAAATTAGTTTATATATAAAATCATATGCGAGTAGCGATTTAATTATTATAATATGTATTTATACAATATTGTATATACAGGTATATAAATTATATACCGTATATATATCGATACATATTTGCGTCTTAATATCGGTACAAAAATAAATGTCTGCTAATAACTAAATATGTTTTTTGTTTGTTATCAACAAAAAAAACATTGAAATTTAATTATTTGTCATACATTTATAATAAACTAACTAAATGTAGCCAACAATGTAAACCATTTTTTTTATTGTACATTTAGAGTTTTTTTAAACTAAATATATCAATATCTATTATAATGGACTCCACACACACATACACACAAAAGTACATCTAAATTAATTGTAATATTATTATTATTTCTCTTGTATACAATAAAAAAAAAGATTTAAAAAAATATTTCACGGTTAAAATGGTTAAAATTTACTAGGATAATTTTATTATAATATAAGCAACAACAAAAATTCAGTGGGTAACATACGGTAAGTATTTTATTGTTGATTTATTTTTTTAGTATAATAAATAAATAATGGATAACTACTGAACAGTTAAAACATTATGCCCTTGTAGTGTAATATCATATTTATAAAAATTAATTGTGTATGAAAATTGACATTTAAATAAATTAAATAATGCATAAACTAATAAATGATTTAAAATAATAATTTTACAAAATTTATGTGACATACATGTATGTACCGTAGTATTAATATCAACACTATATTATTGTCAATTATATTATAATAATGATTACTATAATTGATTGCCACCAGTGATAAATCATATCAAATTATATTTAATTTGCAGTTTTATCATAAATATTTGACTTTATTTAGATTTATTGCTTTGCTATGCATTTACATAAATTTTATTAGTTTTTATTATTTAGTTGTTTAGTATTATGTATATTTAATGCAAATATTTATATTTAATTTCCGACTAAAATTTATATACATATATTATATCAATAAATATTAAATGAATAAAATCAATAATATATTTTTAAAAATATACTGTATATAAATGAAAATACTGTATATAAATGAAAATACTGTATATAAATGAAAATACTGTATATAAATGAAAATACTGTATATAAATGAAAATACTGTATAGTAAAATATTAGTTATATAAATAACGAGTAAAATAGATAAAAATTTATATCAATATATTTATTACACAAACTTTAGACTAAATATGATATTAATGACAATTATCACCGGTATTATCATTCAATTAATTGGTGCAATGGTTTTCAATCTTAACTTTTTTATTATATTTACTATAAGTCTTAAGTTTCTTCTTTCGTTTACCACTACTACTACTCTTAACCACTACTTCTTTAGACAATAGATTCTCTTTGTTTTCATTGAACCAAACATTCAGATGGCTTTCAATTATAAACAATTTGTTTAGTATTGGTTTATATTTCATAAAAATCGGCATAATTTCGACAAAATAGTCTTCAATAAGTGACAAATCTTTGATAATATATTTGACAACACGATTGTCAGTGATATAAGAATCCTTGAAATTTTGAAAATTCTGTAAATAATTTGTTATTAGAAAAAATACTTTTTAAGTATTAATTTTTAGTTATCAACAAAAATGACATACGTTTGCATATATTGTAAAACATTTGACCAAAATTTCTAACAACTTATCTACTGATAAGCCACTGAACAGTAGGACTATATCCCGGAGTCGGTCTTCCAGTGGCATTGGTTCATATGGTTTGATATGTCCGCTGATTATAATCTTAAGCAACAACTTGAAGATCATAATATTACCGACATTTCTCTCCAATACTCTTTGAAATTGATTTTTTCGCTTTTCATCGCTTTTCTGTAGCTCTACTGTCCGATGAAGTGTCTCGTATTGGTCGTCACTATTGGTAACAGTGAAGAGGAAGGTCAGTCTGGCATTCATTATAACAGTGTATCGACTATTTCTTGTACTGAATAGCAGCTCATTGAAGACACCAACTAATGGAAACAAATTCTTAGCTTTTATTGAATCATTAGATGTCTTTAGCGCCTAATTTGTGATTTAAGAAATTTTTAAATTTGTTTGTTTTTATTTTGGATAACAAGTTTCCAAACAAAACTTACTCTAATATAGTTTTCAGTTAATAATTGGTAATATTTTTGCCAACTATTTTGTGAACAGTTGTTGTACCAAATGGTGATCATCATAAGATTGTGTATAACGTTATCCCATAGATAATCGGTTATTAGATCGCAATTATTATCAGAAAATTTCTTAATTATTATTACAAACGACTCCAACATTTTGTAGTCATCGGGTTTGATGTCAGTTACATCTGAATCATTGTATCGATAATCTGTGTTTTGTTTTCCGATTAACAATCGGCTGGTTTTAATGGTATCCGATCTTCTTGTTTAATCAGTTTGCTGTAGACAGTTGACTGGCCATTGTTTGAATTTGTCGGTTGACTGTCCCGGTCGTCACCAACAGAGACAACAACTTTGCTAACTTTTGGTTCACAAATATTTTCGACACCCGATAACTGGTGGCCAATACTTGCTTTCGGAAATTGTTTGGACTCGTTGTTAACATTATTAGTTAAAGACTGACTGTCCGTTTCGTTATATCTAGACTTTAATGGTGGTCTACCTCTTCGGGTATATCTATTACTCAAAAAACTCTTAGGCATAGCATATAATGTTTTTACTTAACTATTGTAGTATTTGAATCAAATTTAAATATTTTATGCGTTAGAAAATAAATTTTTATTATAAAAACTTATACCTAAATGTGAGAATATAAAACAATTAATTTATTTTATGAGAAATCATATGGAAATATAGTAACAATTTACTAGTATTTTATAATTATTTTACAAAAAAAAMTTTTTTTAAAACATGAATYAAACAGTTTATATTCATAAACTTTAATGATTTTCAAGTCTACAGTATAATTATTATAATTAATTATTTAGTCTAAATATTAGAATATTTATAGATAAATAATTTATTTAGTTTAAAATTTTATCGATATAGAGATGACAAATTGATAGTTAAATGTGCCGATTAATGTACACATGTATACTGTAAATGTATTTACCGGTAATAATAATTAAATATTTAAGTACAGTATAATAGTTTTATTATTGAAATACGTAAATATAAATTTATATTTTTACTATTATATTTAATGATTAAAAATTTCCATACATTATGCAAAGTTTTGTGATAATTATCTTTATTATTATTATTATCATTAACTACTAAGGGTCTAAAATTATACATTTTTCCATTTTTTAAGTTACATTAGATTACTTAAAATGAAAAATAGATTTTTTWAAAATAAGAAACATTATTATTATTATGATTATCTGATCATAAAAACTAATGATAATTAAAAAGATAATAACTAATTTAAATATTAGTTTAAATTTTAAAGCAAATATTAAACATTGTCGAAACTTAAAATAGTTTTTATAACATTATGCTATTTTAGTTTAGCAAAAAAAACCCTAATATTATCTTTATTGCCTAATATTAAACATAAAATAAAATTATATCTAATTTTTTTTTTAAATAAAGAGATATTTATTTATCATTAAATGACAATTATTTGCATAAAATTAAATATAATTTGCATATAATTAGCACATAATGTTAGCATCATTTGTGTGAATCATACATAATATTCAGTGATTCAATGCATTAAACAAACATATGATTGCAATGTTTGGTAATTATTGAGAAAAAAACATTTTCACTAATTGTCAACAAAACTAAAAAACGTTACGATTTGAATCACTTCTTGTAATTGGATCTACTGGTGATATATATATATATATATATATATATATATATATATATATATATATATATATATATCGACGACTATGTCTGCGGCCGGTATCGATCGGCAACGGTTTGTTTCGCTTACCGACGATGAATACGATGAAATCAAGTGCGGTATATGTCTCGGTGTACTCAACAAACCTCTGGTCAACCAATGCTGTCAACAGTCTTACTGTGATTACTGTATACACGAGTGGATCAAAACAAGCAAAACGTGTCCCAATTGTCGCAAATCGTTGACCGTTAAGAAGTTGTTTCCGGCGCCACGTTTTAGCGTCAATCTCATCGAAAGACTAGACATTTACTGTGACTTTAGGGACGACGGCTGTCTTAATGTCTGTAAACTCTCGGCTCTCAACCAACACCTTAACAGTTGTTTGTTTAATCCGAAAAATAAGTGCCAGTATTGTGAAGAACAGATATTCTCTGCTAGTGATCACAAATGTGGTCCACAACTAAAGGAATTGGTCGACAGTTTACGAACGGAAGTGTCAGAACTTAAGACATCAAATCAAAAGTTGCGGTCAATTACGAGAAAACACAAGTCACGGGTCGAAGAAATGCAGAAACAATTCGATGAAGAGATGAACCACAAGAACGAAGAGTTCGAGACACTGTCTTTAGTTAGTCAACATATGGAGCAACAGGTTTCGGCTCTTCAGCGAGAGGTAACAGATCTCAAGACACAGAATCAGAATTTGTGTCAACAAAATCAAAGTTTTTCGGGTGAAAACCAAAAGCTAAGACAAGATATGAAAGATATGCGCAAACATTGTGACGATTATCTCAATACCAGAGAGTCGCTCGAGAAGAGTAACCAAAGTTTGACACAAGAATTGATAGAATTGAGACAAGAGTTGGACTCAATTCGCGAACAATCTGTTCAATTGAAGGCCGATAACGAAAGCCTAAAAAGCAGTCAATTCACAAATGTTTGTTTTAATTGTTTTTATTTTTACAAACATTTTAAAATTTTATTTACAAATTATTTACAGACAAAACACATGACAGACGTAATTAAGTCGGCCAGAGATCACATCCGTGAGCCAGATATCAAGCGATCAAAGTTGTCGAAAATGTCTCAATCATTGGCTATTAGTAAGATTACGACTGCTATCACCACATTTGACACATACCGTGACATTGCCATCAATCTGAAGAAAGACATCGAATCGTATAAGAGAGGCGTCTTCTGGCATACACTTGTCGTCAGCGACACATGTAGTCATCTCATCACTTATACTAATGAAGATATCATAGACATAGCGTTTGGCGAACTTAGAGTCAAACTCTTCTCAGTCTAAACGACTGATTCATTGTTTTGACTATTCATTAAATATTGTTTTCATTTTACAATTATGTATATATTTGTAGAGTAAATATAATACAAAATTTTGTTGTTGTTTTGACAATCACTTGATCTGGTGTTTGAAATATTTATCTATGTCTTATTCGGCGGCGATTGTCGACTGTGGAGGAATATAGTTACTCCCAATGTTAGAATAAATGCCAAATACATTGTAAAATGCTGTACAATGGCATTCCTCTGGGGTAAAACAAATTGCATGTAATTGTTACGAAAACTGGTGGCAATCATTTGCAGTATAGTTCCCGCAGATATGACACTTAGGATGAGTGCTAAGACGTACTTTTCGGTACTGTCGACAAACAACAGATAATTGGTGGCCACAACAGCTAGAAAGCCGAGCCCCGGTAACACCGAGAATGAGACCAACGATGATATGGGCATCAGTTTGGAGTCAGTTCTCTCGTATATTTCACAGCTAACGCTCACTGCGGTCACCACTTTGTTGAATAAGACAATTGCAAATGTCATCATAAGTGTGTCAAATGTTGGCTGGGATGAGATGACCAGTCCTTCGAGTATAGTAATCACTGGCATTGAGTTGATGGCCGTGAGCTGAGGCAAAAAGATTTTGTTATGACAATTGCCGTCGACGCTCGGCTTCCAATAGGACGGCAAATGACACGTCTGTGACGATTGCGATGACGACGAGTCGGGTGACGGACACATCGATGTCGGCATAGATGTTGGCATTGACTCATACGGAACACTTGTCAATTCCAGCGAATCCTTTAGTTCTTCTTGACATTCAACGGTCACTTTAGGTTTTTTAGTGTCTGTAGTATTTGTGGAACAGGTGTTCACATAAGAGGTCACATGCGATGTCTTGCGACTACAGGCTATCAAATAGTGTCTGGTTTTATGAAACCTATAGACTGGACACGACTTGATCTCGTGAGACAATTGTTTACTGTTTCTAATCTCAGTATCGCTAAACCAGTAGTACTTGCGATATCTAAGACATATCTGAATAAACTCTTCGCAAAAGTGTATACTGAAGAACGACAGACATATCATTAGTTCAACAAATGGTATTCCTTTATACTGATAGCTGTCTAACGGATCTGTTAACAGAAGTGCATAACTTCGACCAATTGAGGTCCTCATATGCAAGAGGAAGAGCTCCAGTACTCGACGACAGGCGGGGATCAGCTGCAAGAATAGGCAACCGATGAGTAGGCCAGTGCTGAACGAGCGCATCAATTCAATGAGCATATTGTGGACAACATTGTCCACACACTTCTCGTGACTTTTATGTCTAACATCTTTAGGTTTTGTTGACGTTTTTGACTTCTTCTTCTTTTTTCTTTGATTTCTGCAAATCAATAATATTGTCGAAGGAATAACTGACGCCAACATCGAGATCACCACAAATAACAATAATATCAATAGTATGACCACAAGTAAAGGCATTTTAATATAATAAATGGTAATTCAGTAGTAATTATATTCACAAAAAACAATATTTCTAAATAAATAAACTAAACTAAAAAAAGTTTGATTAACTTATATGACAACGTATATGAAGTTTGCACTCAAAATTTATTAGAAAATTAAACTTTAAATTTATTTTATAATTACAATAAAACACAAACACTGAAACTTTTCTCATAATTTTTTTTGTAGGTTTAATTAATTAAAAAAATATATATAAATTTTTAATCATATGAAATTCAACTCCGTTTTTATGTTATGTCTTAACTTTCAAAAATAACTTGTGAGACACAACTAATGCAAATGAAAACTCAAACAACAATAATAATGAAATATCATATAATTGTTTTTACAATTAATATGCGACACCAAAATAAAGTTTATGGATATCTAAATTAAGTTTTTTCAGATTATATGAAAGTGCATACACTTTATGTGCCATTTCACTGATTATTTCATAAAACGAGAGAAAGAGAGAGAGAGAGAGAGAGAGAGAGAGAGAGAGAGAGAGAGAGAGAGAGAGAGAGAGAGAGATGAAGTCAATGAAACAATTAAATATGTATTCATATGATTTAACTGTTTTTAATGTCAATAATAATAATCAATAAACGAAAATCTTATAATTAGATCGCAAACTAAAACAAAAAAAAACATGCATTACTAATCTAACAATTGATAATGTAGTTAAATATATGCATTTGTCATAATTATAATAATAGTTATTTTTAAAAAATGATAAAACATTTATGAAAGTGCTTTGTTTGCTAGTGATTGCTAATTGTTTATAATCATTAACATATAAATGCTATAATTTCTAAACTGTATGTACAGTAAATACAGGTATATTATCAAATAATATTTGATATGTATTTTTATGATTGCAAAAGTAGCAAAAGTTTTGCATACATTAGCCATACGTTGATTAGTAAGTGTGTTAATTAGGACTACAATATTTGGGACACAAGAAATATATTTTGTAATTAAATTCATGCTTCACATCATCCGACACCTCATCTCTCTCTCTCTCTCTCTCTCTCTCTCTCTCTCTCACTCACTCACTCACTCACTCACTCACACACACACACACACACACACACACACACACAAACTGTAATATCTTACCTGCACTGGTAGGTGAAGTTAACTATAGCTTATAACAACAAAAGTAAAATATAGTATTTCTGAATCTAAATATATATTATATATTTATATTATAAATATATATAAATAGATGTATAAATATCTACTGTATGTGTAAAATATTTTATTAATAACTATCGACTAATTTTTAAAATTATGAATTGCATGACATGTTATTTGCATAAGTGTTTTACTAACTCATCATTTGAGTTCATCAATCAGAAAATTTGTTGACATAAAAATTAAAACAAATATATGATATAAATTTATATATATATATAGATTATATACGCAATATATACTKTATTATATACTATATAATTATATTTAAATTAATACTTTTATTTATTTTGTAATTTGCATTTAAGTGAAGTTCATGAACTAAGTTATTACCTAAAGTTTTATAAGTTTWATACTAGGAATAATATAAGCTATATTTGTATACATATTCGTACAATAGTTTATTTGTAAATTAAATGAAAATATATCAAATTTAACAAAAAATAATACAAAGATTAATAAGAAATTAATGAATAAGTTTTGCTAAATTGACTTTTGGCTGCCTAAGCTAAAACTCTGTTTTAAAAAAACATTTATTTCGGTCCTAAAAACTATTATGTAATAAAAATAAAATAAATAACAGATTTTAGGGGTTTCGTCTGCGCTTTTATTTTTAATACATAATGTTTTTTAGGACCCAAAGAAATGTTTTCCGTTTAAATAAACGACTTTTAGCTTTAAGCGACCAAACTTGCAATCGGCCATAAGTTTATGCTAATTGTTATATATTTTTCAAATTATTAACCAATCCTTCATTCAATCATTTCATTTAATCGGTAAATGATTTTCTCTTTTTTCTTCATTTAATTTTTTGGTTAATTAATTGAATCCCAAATAAATCACGTGACTTTCAATTGTTAATACAGTATTTGTATGATTATAATTTTTCATATTTATAAATATTAAACAATTAAAAAAATAGTATATTTAATAATAAACAATAAATTTTATTTATTTATTAATATATAAATTTTAATATATTTATATTACAATTTTATATGGAAATTAGCAAAACATATATTAATGAATCATAATTAAATTGTATGATAAAGTCTATATAATATTTATAAAATGACAAATAAAAATATTTTTTAAAAACTTTAAATACATTAAATAAATTATATTAAAAATATATAAATGTTGAAATATTTGTAGTTTTTTTAAATTTGTATACAATATAAATCAATTTAATACTAATTGTTAAATAAATATTTGAAATATATATATATATTGTATGTTTAATTTTTAAACTAACAAGGTGAAATTTGTGTCAATTTTTACAGACTAGAAATTAAATGACATGTGTATAAATACAGTATATATATATTTGTATATCATATTGTTTTATATATAATAAATTACATAATCATAAGTTATGATTCATAACATAATGTATTTGTTTGTAGTCATAACTAGTATATATAATTAAATTAAAATAAACTATATACAAATTAATAAAATTGTTAAATAAGTAATTGTCATAATATATTAGTGTATATAATATAATCAATTTGTAAAATTATAATAATATGTATATATCATTAAATATAACAATTATGACAAATATTTATTTACTCTAAAATTAAATCTCAATTTTAATTTGTTTTATGTATAAATTTGTTTCCATAAAATTAGTCAATAATTTGTTTTATATTAAATATTACAAATTTATTTAAATAAATAATATATATATATATATATATTATAAAATATCATTTAATTATATCAAAAAATCCAATTTAATGGACGGCCCTTCAAAAGGTACACCTATTTAGAAAAAAGTCCTAAAATATATATATGTTTTCACATTATCACAGATTCGATAATAATAATAAAATAATTGGCAAAATCAACGAAATGGTGGTAAACTTTAGGAGGACAGACACTTTTTTAAAAAAGGCTGTCCAACCCTATTGTCTAACCATCATAATGTTGGCCAATGCGTTGCGCCTTCGTCTCCAGTTTCCTAAATCCTTTGAATGGTAACGCAATTGTTTCAACCAATCTTTGGTTTCAGTAACAGTTTCGCCCTGTTTTAGTTGACAACAACAACAAAATAATAGATAATTTTAAAAATTTATTATAACAATTATCTCAACAAATAAACTAAACTAAATGGTAATTAAATAATCAAAATCACTAAATTATATATAAATCAATTATAATTAACAACAACTAATTTATTGAAAATCGGAGTCAAACCCCTTGAAAACCAGTCGTACCTTAAATAGTAGCGACTCTTTGCTGATCTGTTCGTGAATTTCAAACATTTCGTCGCAATCGCTTTCAGAGCTGATCACACATGTCTTCAGGTTTAGTATTTCCTATAAGTTTTATACAATCAATAAATCAATTAAAAATATGTTTCTCATGACTAATAATAATACAGTATTAATAAATAATATTGAAATGGTTGATACCTTGCACAGGGCGTACCGACCCAACCTCTCTTTAATCAATAGGAGAACCGAATCGGTAATACCGGTGTTATCTCTGGGAAAAATCAAATCCTTTTCTTGTTCGCTATTATTGTTGACCAAATCGGGCCTATAGTTTTGGTTGGGCCGGCCCAGTGTAACCAATAAGGCACTGGCCGTCAAAAACTTTAGCGTCTTTGTCTTGCGGTTAACGGTGTAATCGGTGATAGATGTGAACAATACTTTACCGATGCTCACGAACTGAGTCTCCTCTTGATTCCACTTAAGGATTTCAAGAGCAGCCTATCATTCAATGAAAGAGAGAGAAAACAGATATCTATTTAGACATATATTTTTACACACATATCATATCTATTGATTATATTTTATTTTGACAAACAATTTGTTATTTTGAAATGTTTTTTTAAAGATATAAAAATGCAACACAAAAAACAGGAAAACAAACTAATCGGCGATAAAAATTGTTTGAATACCTGTCTATATATATATATTGATATAATAGCTAATACCCTAATAATATGGTATTCAATGGCCGAAAACAATACAATAATAGTCAATAATTTTTTTTATCCGAAATAAAAGTTAGAGAAAAAGTGCACAAAAGTTGAACTTTTATAGCCTTGTTATGCAAGTAAGTGTAATTGAATGCAAGGTATTGATAAGCACAAGAGTGAACGGGTAGTTAATGGGGTAGTTATCATATATAAGATTCTGACATTGATAGGTACAATATATAAAATATAGAGATAGAGAGAGAGAGTACGGGTGCTATAGTTTAGTAGAACTGGTTGAGATGGTTGTATACCTTTCTGAGTTTGATATTTCCGATATCGTCGACACAGTTGAGCCGTCGATGAGATGTCGACAGATTGGATATTCGCCGCCAGATTCTTGTAGTTGCGCCTATCGTACCCTTCGTTTGCTGATTGATGTGCTCGAGATGTAGTTCCACTTTCTGTTGGGACTCTCTCAGCGCTTCCCTATCTCTGTGATGATATGGTGTGACTTTGTAGAGACGGTTCAACAGTAATGGATATCTGTAATCATACCGTAGAGAGAAAGGACACGGAGTTAATACATGTTTTTTTCTTTGTTTGTTTGTATGTTTCTCGGTTTTATTGAGGAAACAATTGTATGGATACACACACATACAAAAAAACCCGGAGTTATTTTAATTGATTTGTTGTCTAATTTAGAGATCAAAGCAATACATAGCTCAGACCATAAAAAAGGATTGTTGTGTCTGAAACACATGCATATAACAGTGGTATTGTACTGAAACACACACAAGAGCTCTGATAGCACACACACACACACACACACACACACACACACACACACACACACACACACACACACACACACACACACACACACACACACACACACACACACACACACACACACACACACACACACACACACACACACACACACACACACACACACACACACACACACACACACACACAAAGAAACCCCCATTTAATAAATTAAAAGAAACGAAAAAATAAAAAATAATAATAACTACAGATAAATAAATAAAAACTTTGAAGTTATTTATGGCATTTAATCGGAAAAAAGTTTAAATATATGTTTCACTGTTGAGATTATTTTTGTTTTGTTTCTGTGTTTAAAATCTATTAAATGTCAGCTAAAGAAAAGGCTACTGTTTTATATGTAATAATGATATTCACAGATATATCTTATATATAGAGTGAATGGTTAGATTGAAAACTAATGATATATTATATACAGGTTAGCACACAGTCTAAACATGGGGTCACACATACTTAGTAACCCTCTGGACGGGTACCACAAGAAACGACCTCAGGTTCATACGTCTCAACAGTGTGTTCTCCATTTGTGACACCCGTAGGAATATTCTCAGCAACTCTTTCTCCTTTTCCAAGTGATTCAGTAACAGTGCAGCTGATCCCTGGCGGACACAATAGGACTCAAACGCGTGAAGCATCGATGAGTTGTCCCGAAACAGTTTGCCAATGTTTACGGTAGTAAAGTCCTGGGAATTGTCAAACAAAAATTTTTAAAATTAAAATAACAATTAAAATAAATATATATTTTTGTTGTATTTTTTAAAAGAAATACATGTTTTGAAAAACAATTATCGATACAGTTATTATAGCTCTGGCATTATATTATGTTTGTTTGGGAAAAAATATCGGCAATATTGTGTTTCAACTCTTTTTATTATTATTTTGATGGGAAATCAATTGGAAAAAATAATAAAACAAATTCATATGATTTTATATAAGTTATATCATATTATAAACTTATAGTGAAAAAAGTTTTTTTTCATTTATTTATGCCTTGAGATGATATCTCTGAAAAACTAAATTATAATTATTTAATTAAAAAAAATATTTTACACCAAAATTTATTTATTTATTTTCTGTATATCTATAGTTATGTCATTTCTTAAGGAAACATAATTTATTTAGATATCCACAATCAGATATTGTCATTGAAACATATTTAAATTTTTAAAATTAATTTTAAAAATTCAAGCAAACATTTTCAAATATTAAAAAAACAAATTAAATTTTTTTTTTATTATTTTGTTAGAATATTATTCATGTTATTATATGGTAAAAATTATCATTCAATAAATAAATAAAAAATAGTTGAATTTAACTTTGCACTTAAATATCTAAAAAATACAAATACAAAATTGTTAATTAAATTTATTGAAAAAAATCACTAAATTTTCATTTAATATTTGTTTATTTTATCGATCCTATAATGACAATARACATTATATTTTCATAAAAAATCAATAAAATATATAACTAATTAAATATTTAGTTATTTTTCTAAATTTAATTATCAGAGCAAAATCTTTTGCTATGATTTTTATTTAATAATTATTTACTTTAAATTATTTTTTTTTCTAATTAAAATCAATAATAATTAGTTGTTGATTTTATATGATATTAAACTTTTAGCAGTTTTTAACATTTATATAACAAAAAAATATAAATGTTATTTTAATAAATTAAATCATTATAATATACTATAAAATATTTTATTTATAATATTAATATTATACAATATTCCAGTAATAATTTGTTGTATTAAAATTTGTTTGCTTTGATTAGTAATATTATCAAAAGGGGAAGTCATGTTTTGGTTGTCTAATAACAAATAAATAGCAAACATTAAGTTACATAAAGTTAGTAATTTTGTTGATTTACACAATTTACTAAAATATTTATTTATTTTCAAAAATTTTCTTATTTCATTTCAATCATTTTTTATTTAGTATATTAAATAATCGACACATACATACATAAACAAACACACACATAGACTGTCTATCAATAGGTGTCTACCCGTGAAAACACATATAATTAGTGTGACTTAGACTTTAGTGGGGACTGATTGTAAGGTACACTACAGGTATTGACCGGTCATGTAATTTCGTGAGTGTCTAATATTAGCAAAACAATTGATACAAGCATTTCATGACTGGCAATATGGTTATATCGGTATGTGTGAGTGTGTCTGTGTTTTGTTAAACATGTCATGTTTGCAAACTAGCACTTATGTATGTAAAACACACACACACACACACACACACACACACACACACACACACACACACACACACACACACACACACACACACACACACACACACACACACACACAAACTGGTGCTTTCTTTTCAATTGAATGAAAAATTTATTTCTTCAATTTATATATTTAACGGGAAACCTTATCCATGAATTTTTTCTCTCATTTGTAATGTATTTACGAAATATATATATATTATATTTATACAAATCAAACACAACATAAAATAAATAAGTAAAAAATAATAATAATAAATAGTAGAGAAACCTTATAACTAACAAAAAAAATATAAGCATAAATAGGGGTATTGTTATTGAGAATACACATATGTATATATAATATTAAACATTTATAGTAGTATTGAAATTATACACAAACACACCACACATATTACACATCTCAGCTATACTGATGTAGTAGACCTCCACCTTAAATATAGGCAAACAATAGGGCACAGGTGTCTCAAAAAATTCTGCTATATAAGTGTATGTATGTGTTGGGTCATAAATTTTGTTATTAAATTATTTATAAGTATTAGCGTTGCATTAATTGTTTGACTATTTATTTACTAATATTTATATATATGTATATATTGTATATGTGCCGAAACCTATCTTTTTGGACGACAAAAAACAGAGATTTTGTGAATTTTGTGTTTATTTGTGAATAATTTTTTAAATAATATTTTTTTTAAGCATAATATATTATACCTGTATTTGTTATTTGAGCCCAATATTTGTGTCCCTATTTTTGTTTTGTTTAATACCAATAAAATATTACATAAATAGTAGGTTTTTTAGTGAAATACAATACCAGTTATTAAGTAACGATAGACACGATTGTATAAGCATTAGTCGATAGGAGGACAGGTATAATAACATATACTGTATATACATCTATGGGCTATAATTTATATATATATAAATACACTGTATATAAATTAATATATAAGACAATTGTTTTTTGGATTAAAAAAACCTGAAATCTTTTACATTCGTTAACTCTCATAGACTTTATAATTAATATATAACAACAACAACTACAACAACATTTGAAAAATAAGTTAATATATAGTTACCTAAAAAACATCTTTTTTCTGGTGTTAAATAATTCATAACAAAAAATGTTATAAAAAAACTACATTTACACAGTGTTTTAAACATATGTATTATACAGGATCTAAAAATTAGTTTAAACTATTTAATAAATAAATATATCTATTTATTTATTTTGTTAACCAATTTATTATCATAAATTGGGCGCTTATATTTAAATTATAATAGATTTTGATATATCATACATCAAAAAAATGTTTATTTAATATTCAATTTGCTCTCTCTCTCTCTCTCTCTCTCTCTCTCTCTTTCTTTCTTTCATACGCATATCATAAAAGCTACTATAAAATATTGTATATATATTGTTATAAGAGATTAAATGAACAAAAAAAATTAATTAAAATATTGAGGACAATTGTGGCAAAGATTTTTTAAAAAAAAATCAATACAGGCCTTCAACAACAACAAAAAACAACAACAAACAAAATCAGATACAGGCCCCACATTTGGACAAAGTATGCCAGCAATATACTGTATAATATATATATATATATATATATATTTATTTATATAAAGTATACGGTATATAGATATAAAAAATGGACAGTCAGTGAGTCCTGAATACCTCATCTCCCTGTTCTGTTGCAATATCGATGGCGTCCTGTAGTTTCTCAGAGAACTTGCTATTGACTCCAATCAGTTCGTCCAGATTAATGAACACACCTTTGAGTTGTTCTTTGGTCAGCAGTCCCGCTATCTCTATGGGTCGGTAAAACTCTTCGCGAATAATACGTAAATCGCGGCCATACTTGAACTCTGTGTCCACAATCTCCGATATGATTTCTTTACGTTCCGACCGTTTTTTGTCGCACCGGTGACAAAACAACGGGTAATGCAATAGTCCCGTATGGTCGTCCTCGTTGGGATCGACATGCATTTCGCAGTCTAGTTTTTACAGACATTATTATTACTACCGTATTATTATAATTATTGTTATATATATATATAAATATCACAAATAAAAAATATATAAATAATTATAATTTTAAAAAGATAAATGTTATCAATTAAATGGGGATATAATTACAATACAAAATTATGTTGTTTTTAATTAACAAATACATTGTGTATTTAAATACACCGTTTTTTAATTATTTATTTCTGAATCCAATTAATTGAATTATTTATTGACTTTTTATTTTGTTTTATGTACTAAACTCTGGACTAAATCTGCTAAAAATATTTTTATTTTGTTTTCATTTGAAACAATTGTTTTGTAGTATAAGGAAAGGTGTGTTATAATTACCGGCACATTGATGCTCGACCTCATCGTTGAGACTCAACTTTCTTAGTCTCGACGGTTTAGACGTCTCGGCGCCGACACCTGAGTCGTTGCGTTCAACCAGTTGGCCGACCGATGCTGAGTTAGTGATGGCACACTTCAGTAGTATATCCTCTTCGATGTCTATGGAACTGGATGTAGTGGCCGTAGACTCGGTGGATGAGTTACTGACATTACTGGTACGGTTGCGCCGGTTGGACGATATTGTCGTCTCAATCAAGTTTTTGGCATTTATGATGGGATTCTCTTCCATGTCTTCAATTACATCGATGGCCTCCATTATCTCGATATTGGCGTCAATAGTTGTGTCGCCCACCAGAATATCTTCGCCCACGCGTTCCTTAGCGTCTTCGAGAAACTCGAGTATCTCATCTTTGGACGCGCCGTCAAATATCGATTTGGCATTTTCAAGGCTACTATCGGTGTCTACATATACAGACTCATTGTCCAGCTCTTCATATATGTGTTCATCGATCCCCTCGAAAGGTGTGTCCGAGGATACGTTGATAATAATCTTATCGTTTGGATTTGAATAGAAAACAGTAATCGGACTCTCGTTGTTCAGCGACTTCTTAAGCGTACAATCATTGGTCAGAGAATCGGTAGATGATTGGGCACCGGAATCGTATAATGAGGAGAAAGAGTTTGAGGAATCAATTGATTCAAATTGGATGACATTTGCCGACAGATTATTGGGATAACTGTTTGTCTCTATACTGGTCTGATTGATTACCCTATTATCTGAACCGTTGCGGATAGAAATGGTGCACAGATAGGGATTAGTGCGACCGGTAGTAGTGATATATGGTGTGCAACTACTRTCYTGTTCATTATCATCTGAATTGGCGCCTCTTAAGCACTCATAGCCAGAGGAATTTGATGTAAGACTTAGACCGTTACCACTGCCCATTGTACTACTACAGCTGCTACTACCGGTGCCATAATAGCTGCTATTATCATCAATAATAGATTTAATAGTCGTTACCGAACCGGTTGATTGGTTATTAAAATCTAAATTTTCAATTTCCGTATTATTATTATTATTCATATGAAAACAGCTATTATTTAACGTCAAATTTGTTTGACTATCGAGTCCAACAACATTACTACTATTATCAGAAGTCAAACCATTATTTTTCATGTGATTATTATTATTATTGTAATTATTATGATTGTTGTTATTATTGTAAAAACTTCTTTGATTGTGATTTTGAGTGCCTTTTTGTTGGCTAACCTGGACTGGTGTTTGTCTATCACTGACTTTCTGTGAAACGATGGCAACCGACGATCCATTATTACGCTCTTTTGTAGGACTTATGTCCGGTACGGATGACTGTGTCTTATTAATTGTGGACAACTTGTTAGCTCTGGCCACGGCTTGCGGTGGCTGTCGTCTGGTTGGAGACAATGGCGTTACAGTTGTTTTTGTTGGTGATATTGTCGTTGATTTAGTAGGTGATGACTGTGGTGATGATTTAGGTGTCGCTATTGGTGTCGTCACTGATGATGAAGAAGAAGCCATAGCAGATCTGCCATTTACTTTGGACTGTTTTGATTGTACTTTCCTATCATCTCTGGGTTTAGCTATTGGCGGCGATCTATTAGTTACGGGTTTGACTACTTGTGCTGATTTTGAATGTTGAGAATTTGCTGAACTATTAATAATTTCTACGGCACTGTTAGTACGGGACTCGCTAGTAGTGCCAGCAGTAGGACTAGTAGTCGTCGATGATTTTATTGTTCTGGTTGGTGCCGCAGGTAATTGAGAAACGGTTTTTATGGGCACTACCAGTGCTTTAAGATTATGGTTGACTGCTTCTGGATTATTATCGCTAGTTTTAACGTTGTTTTTATTACAACTATTAATATTATTATTACTAATGAAACGATTTGGACAATCGCTTAATGTGTTGTTGTGTGCCGTCAGCTCAAAACCCTTTAAAAGCGTGGACTGGGCTGTCTGTGCTCTCGTGACCAGTGATGGTACGGTGTGTTCACCTGTTTTTATAATTGTTACAAACATAGACATTAGTTCTTTGAAAAACCGGAAGATATTTTTTTGAAATAAACGTTAAATATTAAAAAATAACGCGTTTTTCTATCATAAATCCCTTAAAATAAATTCAATGGTTATAAACATTGACTTATATATAACTTATATGATATATATAAATATATATAAATATATATCTATAAAATTCAAGTGACTTTTGTTGTGTTCTAAAGGATAGCATTTTCTTGAGTGGTATTTAATATTAATAAAAAAAACAACACAACATCTCAAGTGATGTTTGCTTTTCTGTTGTTTTGATTAACAGTAAAAATATATTATAAGTACTATTTTGTTGTTGAGATAACCTGTTAAACAACTCGCGTCTCTCTCTCTCTCTCTCTCTCTCTCTCTTTAGTATATCAATAGTCGACATTATTATATTTGTTGAAACAAACACTACAGATATAAGTTATATATATATATATATATATATATATATATAAATGGTTTTTATATATTTCAAAAATGCCATTCAATTATCTATTTCTTAAAATATAAAAATATCATATCTATAGATTTTTATAGCTAAAAATAAGTAGAAATAAGTTTTTTTTATCAGTAATTGTAAAGTAATTTTGATTTTTGATAAAATAGATATTTCTAAAAATTTATCAAAAAAATATTACTTCCATAACTTGTATTATATTAAAGTATCGTTATATAAGAAATGCTATAAAGATATAAAAATATATATATAAAAACATATGAATGTAACCCTAATTGTGTGAACAACTTAACCATTCAAACACATTATACAATAAATATTATATACAATGTATTATTATATAAAAGTTGTTAATATGGTTTTCATAAAGTGTTTTCAACTATTTATGTCTACTATTAAACTTTTGTTAAATAAAACTAATAAAAATAATATCACAATCAAAAAAATTCAGATAATAATAATGATTTTTAGTCTCAGAAAATTACATAATCATTATGTCTCATAAATTATATATATATATACACTGTATATTGTTTATATCAAAATATATATATATATATTCAAATACTCTGTATGAGAAAATAAATAAATAAAAATCATTAAAATAATTTTTTGACATAAATGATAGAGAAAAATATTTAAAAATAAACAAAAAAATCATTGGATAAAAATAAAATAACATTATTTTGAATAATATTATCAATTCGTGCGCAAAAATAGTATTCAAATGAAATCACAATTTTAATGTTTAATTTAATAATCAAAAATAATAAAATATTAAAAGACTTGAATATTTTTTTTACTTAAAAACACAGTTTAAAATAATTTAAATATAATTTAAATATATTTTTAATGTCTAAAAATGAGATCAAAAACTATAAACTAAAAACAAGAAAAAACATTGCATACAATATATTAATATAAAGTTATAAAATATGATAATCTATTAACTTAGATATAACTAATAATAATAATAAACTTTTATATGTTTGAATATATCCTATGATTTTGAATGGTGTATTTATATAGTAATTGTGCATAAATTTTAATGATTTCTTAACAGTAATCATAATCATAACAATTGCATTAAAATAATATTAAATATTTTAGTAATCAAGGTTTTTAAATACATATTTTGTTGTTGGTTTATTTGCATTATCATTATTATCATTATTATTATACAGTATTATCTAATTTTTTCATTAAACTGTCTATTTTGGCCCTGCAGCAATTTATATTATATATACATAAATTTTTATATAGATTTATATAATACTTAACAATATTAGATATATATACTGTATTATACACCACAGGGGGCATAACGGGTAGTCGTCGATCATTAAACAGCTTATGATTATATTATAATAGTTATAACCCGTAATACACCCATTGCTCGACCCTTACCTAACTGTTATCACAAACACATATAAATTTATATAACTTTACAAAAGTATGTTTACTTAAATACAGTATATATTTTAATAGACAAACTAAAACAAATAAAATAAATAACAAAAAAAATCATTAATAGATGTCGAGTGAGAGCTTGTCTTTAAAATTGTGATTTAATATAATATAATAATATCGTAATAGAAAAAAACTAAATATTTTGCACTCTTCTTAACAAACAAACAAAAAAATAAATATATAACTTATAAAACTTAAGTTTTATAAGTTATATAATTTTATTTCTGTTAAAAATATTTTTCCATAAAATACTTGGTACGACCTATAATTGTAGTGAACAACATTAAGTTAAGAAAACGCCCAAACCATTTGAAATATCGGTGCTCTCTCTCTAACTCTAACTTAAAAAACAAACAGTACATATCGTATGGATTTGAACGGTTAGGTATGAAGTAATACTGTTTTCCTGATTTAGTTAATAATAATAATAATAAGTAACTCAATATCATATCACACAATCACTTTATACTTTAACCATTGCCTCACAAATGTTAAAGACAGGCACCTTGTGGTCATATTTTGCTGTGTTTATCTCATTAAAATTAGAGACAACTTAATGGGTCAGGGATATCAAGGGATATATATATATTTACATTATATACAGCTATTGAATATATGATAGCTGACTGACAAGGAAAGGGATATATAAAATATATTGTGTTTTTTAGACACATTAAGTTTGCATAATTGATGCAATGGAGAGCTAGTTTACAGATAACAACAACAACAACAACAATAAAAAGATAATATCATTTTTATAAGAAATAATAATAATAATAATATATAATGAAATTACTTTATTTTGTTTTTTTTGACGAAAAACTTGGATGCAAATGAATATCACATTTTCAAACTAATTATACCAACAAATGGCTTATTATATTCAACTACTAAATAATAGTTTAAAATTTAGATCAATGGATTGTCTTAAATGATTATTTTATTTGCACATCAATAATAACTATATTTGTTTCATAGAATAATAATTTAATATAATATATATATAATATATTTTTCAAAAAAAAAACATTTAAATTATATTTTTAAAAAAACTAATGTTTCATTTATGCTATTATTTAATCTCTCTATTTAAGCGGCCATTCATTGTAATCACATCATCACATGTAATCATAAATATCCGCATATATTTCGTATAATATATAAAATAAAATATACATATATTTAAAATGTATAATACAACAACAACAACAACAACAATATTTCGATGAACAGTAATAGTAAAAATACCAGTTATACTGACCTATGGTTTTAAAAAAAAAATATGTGTTAAATAAAGCCCATAAAATAATCACATTATCATGAAAATCAATTCAATTGCAAGAAAAAAGATATAAAAATTATTATTATTATTATTATCAATGTTTATAATTAGTATTACAGAATTAAGCAAATAAAGCAAACTTTTAAATAAAAAATAACTAATGTATTACATTATCATTTAGTAGTTTTAAAAAAATCAAATAAATAAAAATAATCAATTTTTTGTTTATTATATAACTTAATAATAATAGTATAATTACTATTTTCAGTTTATTTGATAAACACTTTAGCAGTGTATTTGACTTTTTTAAAAAAATGTTGAACTGAGAGTTGACTTTCAAGTAATAACTTCTTTTTCAATTTATTAGCTCATAAAACATTTAGATAAGTCTAACAAACTATGAAATAAAAAAATATTTAATATAAAAAATATATATTTATGATATAATATATAAAAGTCATGTCACTATTAATTGACTATTAAATCAACAGTTGACTCACAAAAAACTATATATATATATTCATATGCGGTGTTTGTATAGATATAATAGAGAGACAATTTATCAAATAAATAATATAAAATAAACCGAAAAAAATAAAATCATTTATCAGAATATTCTGGTTCTTACTTACAGTCATTTTCTTATTTTGTGTGTATTTATTATTAATGTCAATAATATTTATTTATTAACAAAATAAAATTATTAACTATTATATATAGTATATATATATTATATAAATTTACTTATTAAACATTACATTAAACATACATTTTGAACAATAGGTGCAAATATAATATAACCAATAGTTTTTCATTAAGTTTTTCATCAAAGATTTGTTTGAGCAATAAATTGAATTTGTTGTCAATTTGTTTTGTGAAATCTATTAGATATATCTATATCTATATCTATATCTATATAAACTGTATAAATATATATTGAGTCCGAGAGACACAATAAATTGCAAATTAAATTAAACCATTAATAATCTATTGTTAATAACTAACTTAACAAACATATCATCTTATAATGAAATGATTTGTCTGCTATTATTTTGTTGGTAAATATAATTGTTTGGTAATAATTAAGAAAAAATAACATTTAACACAAACCATATCTTTTTTTAATTCAAATGTCATTTGAAGAGACAATAAGATATAAAACAAAATTGCATGTCTTTTAATGATATTACTAAAAGACCTGAACTGAACCAGTTATGACCAGCACCGGGAGCTTTTCAGATCAATTGTCTATCAAAAACGATTAATCAATTGGATGCCCAAAAAAGCTTTTAATACAAATTAATCAATAAGTTTTGCTGTCGACACACACAACAGGCAATAGTTAACAATAAACAGTAGATATTTATTATAAGTTATATGATGTATATAACATATAAATAATATAAATATAAATAATTATATCCTATGTTTGTTTCAATGTTTCACAAAAAAAACTATTAAATGTGATAACAATGACGTAACTAAATTAAATTTATTTAATAGATAATAATAATAATAATAATAGAGAGTCCCAACATATTTGATTAAATGTAATTTATTTTAAAAATCATAATATAATATAAAAACAAACAAAAAATACTATTATTGTATTCAAAAATAAAAATATTTTTTGTTTACTAATCTTGAATTACTATTGAAGATAATAATAATAGTAATAAAAACTTTAAGGTCCAACATTTTTTTCTATACTATGAATAGATTTTTTTGTGTATCTGAAAAAAATTTAT